CACTGCACGACGCCCAATGAGATACTCTTGGTTTGGGTTCACCAGGGTACAATCTCACTTCGTGAGCGTGTGTTTCTGCAGCGCCGAAAGAAAAGACAGTCAGGCCGCCGAAAGAAAACCCAACCATGGGGACGTTCCCTTCCCCCGAGGTGAACGTGATTGACGAAATGCTGCGAGACGCGCATCTCCCACGCCCGTTTGACAAGGTACGTCCCAATGCTGGCCATGCGCCTGTTGCTTGATGCTTCTGAACCAACGGGAAGCCACAGCGCGACCACGTGATCATAAATCAGCGGCCAATATACGCATTGGATGTCTTGTCGCTCGTGAAGGCAATTTGGAAAAATGAATCGCTCTTGAATGGTTCACGTATTGTCGAATTGTCGGAACACATGCCAATTTGATGGCGTTATCTCCATAATTTGGCCAAGAAACGTTAAATTCCGTGTGAGCAAGGGTGTTGTACTCTTGCCCATCCCTCAGATTGATGAGAGTTGAGATGTGCGATCAGGCCACTCAGGGGTGGGAGCGTGGGTGAGACTGCGCTGACGGATCACCCACACCGGGAACTCATGCGCCATTGCCCCTGATTTGGGGAAATATTCATGTCCCGCCTCTATCTGAATTTCCCCTGTCAGTGGTATCTTTTGGTGCGGCCTTTGCCAGAAATATTTGTTGGCTCAAATGGACCTCATTTCTAAGCATTGTGAGGATTACCTGTTCCCCAGCCGATCCGAGATTGCAGCGAGCTTGGCAGCAGTTTCTGTACTCTCTTGCTCTGCACCCGCCTCCTGGCCGCGATCCAGGGGTATTGTCGTTTTCCTCGGATCCGATTTGGGGCATGTGTGTCGGCCTGACCACTGCACGATGTGCTTGTCTCTGTGAATGTGTTGTCGATAACGGATGAGTTAGGAAGCACAGGTGTTGGCCTGGATCGCAGACCAGCGTACAATCGTTGTCTGGCGCAAAAGGTAGCTGTTCTATATTGGGCTGCGTTGACACATAGTCGTGTTGAATATTGTGTACCTGTATATGATATTCCTGCATGGGCGCGACCTATGCACTGGTTGCCCCCGACTGGTCCAGTTCTGTGATCATTGCCGCTGCCATCATGCGGGTGCACCACTTCCAACGTTCAACTCGAGTTTGTCCATATTCAGAAGCACGGAAAGGAGACCTTGACAAGGCTTCCACAGGCATGTCATTTTCCAACGTGATACACTGTTATTTGTCATGGGACGAGCAACAACATTTGCTACATATTCAGCCCCTCTTCCCCCTTTCCCCCCCTTTTGCTGACCATTTATGGTTGCAGAACTTCTCATACAACCAAAGTTATGACTTCAGTTTCGCATTTGAACTGGGGACATCCATGCAGAACAAACGCTACTCAGTCCTTGTTCTTTGATTTTTTTTCCAGGAGAAGAACAATCGGCAGCCGGTTGACTTGTTTTCAAACGCAAGAGATCAGTACAACAAGAGGCAGTCCGAGATGTTCTTGGCACACTCGTTTACACCCGATCTTTCATTGAACGTGGGAGGTGCAGGCTTTGCAAAGGGCATCTCGAGCTCCCGTCAGGTAGACCACTGTCAAGTGAGCAGGGATTGAGAACGGCACAGACGAAGGGATCATTGCGCCCAGACTCGCGGCAGAAATGATCATGTAATATTTCCACACCTTAGTCTTCGGAGCTTCATTTCCGAACTGCATTCTTCCTACATTCCGTCTGTCATTTCAAAAGACAATTGTCAGTGTTGTTACAACTCGTCTATTCAGGAGTGAAGCCCCTCCATTTTGCACTGGTAAATTGGGAGATGTGGGGACTACCGGGAGTAGGTCTGGGACACAGCATTGAAACACACAAATATTTCATTCCATTTCGTGTCAAAAGCGCGTGTTCATTGATTTAGCCTAGTGTACGGACCCAAGTTCTCGCATGACAATTGTAAAGGATACCTATGGTCAAAGAATTGCTGGTTAAAAGTTATCTTTGCCCATCACTGTAAGCAAGAAAACGAAACAAAAAGTTTCGCATTGTGTTGACAGAATCCCCCATCACGGGGTACTTTTCGGGTTCGTCGTTTAGGGTGGAAGTGAAGCACACGCCAACGAACGTCGCATGCACACTTCAGATTGAAGTAATGCGATTTAAGAAAGTCTCCAAAAGAGTCCGAACGTCGCGACAATAGTAAAACACCTCTCCATGCGTTTTGTGGCAATCAGATACTATGCTTTAAATGTTTCAATACTATTGTTTAAGTGTATTCATACGCGTCTGCACATGTGTGCATCATGATGCATACACCTCCAAAGCAGCCAACGAAACAACGGCCCTTTAAATGGAGTGACGTCTTGCACATGTGCCAAAGATCGTAGACATCATGGATTGCTGTGTCGCATTGTCCTCCTGTGGTTTGCCTTCTTTGTGTTGCACATGAAGCCGCAGTAGCTTCTCTGCCAAACAGCTATAAGCACATTTGCTTTGGTTCATCATTTTGAAGAAAATTGATTTCTCTTCTTGGCCCCTTGCAGACAGAGCACCGAGTGGCAGGTAAGCTAGAGCCCCTTCAGCACAAGGGATCCGTTCCGAAACAACAAGCGGCAACTCTGACTACCGCGTTGCCTGACAAGACGCCTTTGCCACCCTTGCAGCCGGGTACACAGGGTTGCTAGATCTGAGCCCAATGCACAAATAGGCTGTCTGTGATGGCCTGGGCGCTGTTGATGAGGCTATGGGTGAAAGGGAATGTGAGGGTGGTGGGAGCGGCAAAGGATGAATGGATGGCAATGCCGCCGAGTATGGGATAGATGCGTTCTGTTGGCCGCAAGTGTACCTGTTCTTGGTCGGACAATGCGTCGCCGATTTGCGCAGCGCAACAAATGATTGTAGCTGCTGTAGAATATTTACTCGCCGCACTTTGCAGCGAGCTCATTATCTTCTGTTGGAGATACTGCGTGGTGCTGCGCTCATTGCAGGCCACTTCTGCCTACATTGAACTCGACTGAATGCGCATTCACCTTTGCCCATGATCTCGCTGCAAGGGATGGCCTGATATGGCCACAGCACAGTCTTGTGTGCGATGGTGCCTTCAGAAACGGCGCGAGGGCACAAAAGCACAAGAATTTGCGGAGCGGCTGCATTGATCGTAGTGTTAAAGGCGTAATAGGAGAAACTATTTTCATTCAGAATATCGAGGTTCAGGGGACACTCTGACAATTGGGGGGGAAATAATGAATAGTTTTTTCGGTAACGAGTCTTAACACGAGCCGGGCATCAGATTTTGGGGAGTCTGCCATCAGGAAGTTCGATATGGCTGAAAATCGTTAATACAGCACCCGGGCAACAGACGGACAGATTCTGTTTCTATTATGGGCCATGAGCCATGACGAAACCTTCTTCGAGTTATCAGTGTCACATATCATTTCTTAGCTGACTTATGTCACTTATGCCACTTGTCCGTGGGGCAGTATTTAAATAAAGTGCAACTATGTAACTTGACTGTGGTGAAATACCCAAACGGCACTACCACTAAATGGAACAGTGTGAACTATTTCGAGCCCTGTTCCCTGTCTAAATCAAGAAAAGGCGACTGCGTAGCCCTGTGCCGAGTCGGTTAAAAGTTGGCATGATCGAACGGATTTGAGTGTCCGCACAAAACGCACTCGTTGGTAAGTTGGAAGCGCCAAGCGCGAACAGGCTATTGTAGAGATCCAATGTCATTGGGGTTGAGGAGCATACGAACGTGCACGACATTGCGAATAGGGGTGTTCCTCAGGTTTTCTTATCAAGACAAGAACGGCCGCATCCTTATGCGTGCCCCAGGTCTACCTTCGACAGAGTAATTGCCACGCCGTCCACATGCTGGGCCTAAAGTCCTGGCCCAACAGAGCCAGGCCAAGAGGTGGTGGAGTCGTTCTGAGACGTTGCAGGACAATCGTGGGCTGACCAAACGCCTGCAATTGCGATAGTTTCATGCACAAGATGGCGTTCTGGTTCATTCCGGAAATGATCAGCAGGAACCTTTTTGGTGCCAAAGCGGCTTTGAGCTCCGAAGGAGAAATCAAACCATTCCAACGTTGCTTTAGGGGTGTGCGAATGGTCGAACAGCAATTGCCACACTTCGGCAGCTTGATGTGACGGTTTCTTGATTTCGTCCCGTCTACTTTGACACCAGGGAGTCCAGACCTGATGCCATTAACCAACCCCTTGATTGTCACAAAATCCACAGAAGCCCTTGAATCGGAAACTCTCACATATCTTGGATAAAGCCCGTGCACCTTCGCAGGCGACCCATGCGCCTGCATGCTGGCTGCTCAAAAGAAGAACGCCATGAAGGCAACAGTCCAAACGCCAGACTGCCCCACGAAATCCAGTTCAAAGCAATCAAGCCGTTGGTGACAGGGTAGGCAAGGTGGAACGATATAGGAAGCCATCTGTCCAGGCTCGAATTACGTTCGCGACAAAGGATATACTGCGGTTGACAATTTTGATTTCCCTCGCTGAGTTGAGCAACGCTCTGTGCTTCGCCCACGTCCCGTTCTACCAATCAAACAATCATGAACCGAGCAGTGCTTCAAAAGCCTATGCTTCTGCCACAGGTTCCACAGGGTCGTGGCTGTGTGTGCCCTGCTCCCCTTCTCCCATTCTCAAGAAATCTAAACTACAAAGGCCATAACGTGGGTTCGTTGCACGCCCATGCGTCCACACCTCAGCTAAGCCCAGCGATACACACAATCTGCGACTTAACAATGGGACAACGCATTGCACACTAGCAATGTGTCCTGATCTCCACTTTGCTGAGTAGACACAAACATCGGGCCACAAGGCGCTGCATCCAAGACAACTGGGTCCATGACGGCAACTTATGTCAGCTAATATGGTGCAAGGAATAAGTCGCTTCTTGTCAGACCAAAGGCACTTGCCCCAGGAAGAAAATTTTGTCCAGGAATATGCTGTGCATGCCATTCCCAACCTGATATGACGAAATCTACACTGAACTCATACAGCCCCATTTTCGTTGTTAAGTAGGCCACTGGACTGCCTTGGTTCAAGAGGTGGGGGCAGCTCCAAGAGAAGGGAGATGTCATCCCACCCTCTGCGCTTGACCCAGACACACAATGCTTTGCGCATCCACGTCTGGACGCACCTGTCGCATACCTCGCGCAATGAAAACTGCAAAACAATTGGAATAAATGAGCACACCTAAGCAATACAGGCGGGCACCAGAGGGCACACATGGCCTTGACACAAAAGATGAACACATTTAGAGATGTCAAGATGTTACAAGCATGCAGGAAGTACATTCAGGCCCGGGAGCAACCAGGCTTTATCAGGACATTTGGAGATGAGATCAAGTTGATGCACAGTATTGATGCATTTCGCCACCTCAAGATAGGACAGACAGGAGCTTCGTGATGAGTTGTTGACAGCCCATAGGAACAACAAGACAGCACAGCACTGCAGTGCAGAACACAAGATGCCAGGCTGCCTCCTGTGCACAAAACTGTTAACAGCGAATATGTTGTGCATACAACTGCTGGCAATGACCAGCATTCCTAGATTGCCACAACGTTAACTGTGAAGATGAGGCCAACAAGCGGCAACGTCAAATGCAGAGTCGCCATTGATCAGTACAAAAACAAATGCTGCTGGCAGTCAACTGGGTATGACTCAGCTGTGTACCAGCTGCTATGAGCTGGACAACCTGAACTATCAACTGCTGTGCATCTCACCCAACATCGTTGCCTCTCATGCGCCTCAGGCCATTCGTCAAGCTGCTCCTCAACCCTCAAGACATACATGTATGCCAGGCACTGTCCATTGGTTGGATCGACCACTCCCCGTTTCCGACTCAAAAAGGGGAATTCGCCCAAACCTGGCCCCTGCAAAGCATGGCCATGATACACTCAAGCATCTTGGATATGGGACCACAAGCAGACAAGTCCATCCAGAACCACAGCACAACAGTGTCCCTCAGGGCCTGTGGGCCTGTCCCTGGAAATTCCCTTGAGCATCCCTTCAGGTTCGTTCCATAATTGCACACTACAAGGGGGTCAAACAACATGGGGGTCAAAATGCAAGTATCCTGGGGCTGCATAGCATGGGAAAGGCGGAAAATGATCATAGCAGAGCGGCCTGTTCCAGCAAGAGTGCATGTGCCCTTTCTGCAGGGCAGTTCCATGACAGCCACTGATGGCAAGAGGCCATCATGATGCGCACCTCACTCCATCCTCACCTCTATCTCTCCCATTACCCCAGCCTCCTCAACAGTCTCCCTCAAAGCAGCTTGTTCGGGCGTCTGCTCGTCGCGCTCCCAGCCACCCTGGAACACAAGTCCCAAGGACATTCACAAATAGAACAGAGCAAACCTTGTAGACAATATGACAAAACACCTTTACATTAATTATGGAGCATGAACAAAACAAACCAAAACAATTACCATGGCCCACCACCAAAGGACACGCCCATAGGCCCTGGCCTCGCTCCAAGAGACAGATTGACAACACACAAGCACGTCCCCCCTTCCTGATTGCAAACATTGCCAATGCACACACACAGAAAGAAATTGCAACTACTCCTCTGCCACAAATGGCCCCAATGTCCCCAATCCCTATTACGTGTCCTACCTTCGGGAAGACCCAGCCGCTGCCACATCTCCTGGTCACCAGCAGCACCTCTACCTCCTCGACCCTGCATCCGTCCCCATTGTACCGCATCGGGATGCATCTGGACAGGAACACACAAGGCTGTCATCATCGCATGCCCACACACCAAGCCAAACAAGGTGGTCCAGATAGTCACGGGCACCCATCCCAGGCTAAGAAAGTGAGGGGATCAGGTTTGGCCGCCACGAGTGCGTTGCAACAGCCATGGCAGAGCCAGATCTGGTCCTGGAGTTCCAGGCGGATGGAAATCTGGCTTTCAGAGAGCCATCCTTCAGATCCCTCGCCACAGGGGTCATTTTCAAATTCCTGGCTCCCAGAAACCGCTAGCATTCAGTCCATCACCACTGCGGCCACTCACCCAGCCACCAGTCTCTCCTTGCTGGGCCCGTATCGTTGCTTATGGCGGCCCCGCCGGGCCCGCATTGTGCAGGGCACCCCGGCCATCGGCGATCCCGGACCGCCGGATGACGCGCCAGGCGGCGCACCGCCGGACGCGGACAGGCCCCTGCGGCAGCCGGCTCACGCGCCGGCCAGCGACATCAACTCCCGCCCCGCGATTGTCCCGACAATGCAGCCGTCGCGGTAAGCAGCGGCCGACTCGGCGCGGGGCCAGAAACCAGGCTGGGGTAGGCGCCCTGGCGCCGCGACGCAGGCGTTCCTCTGGGCGAATGCCCGGCGGGCTGGGGATGCCTCCCAGCTGTCAGAGATGACAGCGCAGGGACGACTGCGCTCCGTCGACTGCACGCCAAGGGCCAAAGTCCAGGCGATGCGGCGGCTGCGAGGATGATCCCTGCGGCCGAGGGTGCAGGGCACGGCTGCAAGCGCGCAGGGGGCGACCGGCGCCGGAGGCCGGGGTCCGGGGCGGCGCGGGGCGGGGGTCCGCGGGTGGGTGCTTTGTGCGCCGTGGCCCCGACAGTGGGGCCCGTAACAGTCAATTGGAGGCGGTCAATTAGGAACGAGCTGATCGTGCGTGCTCTGTGTGCGATTAGGTGGGCGGCTGACTCACTCGATAGTTGGTAGTAGAACTATGGTGACGTCACTTCGGGCGGCCCAGACACCACGAGGCGTAATTCTTTATGGAAGGCGGCAACGGGCAAGGGCCCCTGGACGGATGTCAGGCGATGGTCCCAGGAAGACAACAACGTGTTCACAACGGCGTTCCCGTCGCGCAATCCTGTTAATCATATATGGCTCGCGTGCTGTTGGTGTGGGGGTTGGGCATTGCTTGGGAACGCATTGTTTCGATGTTGGCGTCAAATTGGCGTTAGGAAGGGGGCCAGTCCAGACCCATGACGCTGGGAACTTTCGTTGTCGCCACAAAATCGAAAGAAGCTAAAAGCGTGCTGAACCGCTACTGGTCAGCAACAAGCAAGTCATGATATGTTCCAGAAACTCTGTGAAGCGTCAAGCCTTTGCGGACATGCACAAGCTGGCTAAATGAGTTTCTTGCTGAAATTCATCAGCAAAACGCAAAGGTACTGGGGCAGCACTGGCCAAATTTCCATCAACTTGGCGATATCCGCCGTTGCTGTTGAACATAGCCGTTGGGGTTGATTTTGTCCTTTGTGGGGGGCGTAGCCAGCGTGTTCGGGTCAGGACAGCATTACAGTTCATTAGTGGTCGAGATCAGTGTCGAGCCGCTGGTCAATCACGAGGTACTATAGTGGCATAACGTGCACATTCATTACCCTGACGGAATTAGCGAAGTAGGTGGGCATGACAGGACATCTGCACTTGTCCATAGTGCGACGTGATCCTTGAGTGATACCCTGGTCGGATTCGCGCCCATTTCGGGGAATCACAAGTCCGTTGGCCCACCCTTCCTCAAAAGTCCCGGACAAGATTTGCCTGCCTGATCCAGGCACGCTTCAACTGATCCCAACAGGAAGGTATGTGGGGGTGGAGTCAAAAGGGATTCTCTTGAATCGGCTGCTGAATGCTGCGACGCATTTTGGCTACCTTTGGTGGGTCTGTGGACATGGTTCTGAGATGAGAGACATCCCCATCATTTGCTTCATATTCACAAGACTCTCTCTTTGTGCGATCCGTTCGAATTTCGGGCAACCAACACGTCGATAGTCCACCCCATCGATGCAGTGGTGCCATATGTCAGTATCTTTCCTTGGCTTAGTCAATAGAAAAACCACACCATGCATTCGCCTAAGTTGCAACAAGCGTGGGCGGCATCCTGGCGGGAAGTACACCCTGCCACCTCGCCTTTCGCCCTGTAGATATGGCATGGACCATGGGCTCAGCAGATCTGGCACAGTATCGCAGGTTATACTCACAGGTGCGTTGTCCTTTCCTGTGCAGGCAATCAGAATCCACACAAATTCCATTTGCTAGCCTGACACCTTTGGATCCACAAAACTAATACCAAGTGCCCTCTTCCCTCATGATCAGCCGAGCCGGCGACACAAAAACGTCACTATACGCCTCCTCCTGCAGGAACTCAGGCACCTCGTCCGAACCCGCACACACAATCGTGCTTCCGCTGCCGGTCATGAACACTGCTGAGAATTTTCCCCCTCCCTCGTGCTGCAGCCGACCCTTCAGATCCGCCAGCTCGGGCAGCGTCTTGAATGCTGGGGGCTCCAGGTCGTTCACACACACATCCTGGCTCATCCCATCGTTGGACAATCTGTTCAGGAGGGCCTCTGGGTCAGCAGAACTCCTCTTGTCCAGATCCAGCTGCTTGAATATCTGCCCAGTGGGCAGCCCCACTGCCGGCTTCACCAACAGGAGGGGTGTGTCCAAGGGTAGGGGAGGCGGCACGTTCCGCACAATCTCGCCCCTCCCTGTGCAGTACGCTGCCCCTTTGGAGAAGAACACAGAGATATCTGAGCCAATATCTGCCGACCAACTGAGGAGGTCAGACTCTGAGGCCGGCCGGCCGCACAGCTCGTTTGCTGCCCACAGGGCGGTGGCAGCATTTGCGCTGCCTCCACCCAAGCCAGCCCCATGTGGCACCACCTTGTGCAGCTTCACGTTGAAAAACTGGTGGGAGCCAGACTTCTCACGAAACAGGTTCAGGGCCTTGATGACCAGGTTTGACTCATCTGTTGGCACACCGCACATGTCGCATTCCAACCTGTCTTTCGTCTCACCACTGGCCAGCGGTGAAAAGTCCATGGAGTCGCTGAGATCAATGACATGGAACAGAGATGCAAGGTCATGAAACCCATCGCTCCTCCTGCCCATCACCCTCAAGAAAAGGTTGATCTTGCAGGGGGAAGCGATGGACAGTTGCTCGGCGACTGCCCTCAGGCACCAGCAACCACATCTGTGTCCCAACTTGCCCCTTGAACTGCTAAGAAAAAGTGTGCGACCAAGATTGGAGGGCTTTCGTTGCCATTTTGGCGAAGGTGTGGTATTTCGATGAATGATGCTGGGATGTGGTCTGTCTGGGCATCGCATTTTCTCCATTCCTTGCAAGATCACTGCTCCAACAGCTGTCGCACTTCAAAGGGCGGAGGCTGAGGAAGGATGTCAGCAGATCTGCATCCCTTACTCATTACTCTGGTGGCTTGTCATGTGCCACATATGGCTTCAACTGCATGTGCACAGCACAAATGAGCAAAATGCATCCATCGAAGATAATGGTGTGACAGGTATGGGAGTTTGGCTGCTGCTGAGGTTCTTTGTACTTGTTCCAAAACAGCAGAGCCATCTGTTGTTATGTTTTAAGACACTAATATGTCAGTGGTGTGGTACATGACGTGGTTTTAAACTCAATGCTGCTCCATGTGGAACATGAGGGCTGTCACTGAGATTTATGAAGGAATTCCACGGCCCCTGCATAGAACTCGTGAAGAAACACAGAACACAGGACACAGAACACGAAGTGCAGAACTGAGTGCTGTGTATGGACTCCTGATCCCTTCCTCCTTCCAGAACTGATGGAGATAGTGCAGTTGGTTACCAGATGTCAACACAGACGACTCTGCATTCGATCGCTATGGAAGGCATCCAAGCTGAAAATAGACAGAACACCAACAGAATCCCCACCTGAGGCCTGTTCACCTCCCAAACTCATGCAATATCTTTCTAACGAATAATCCCTGCCACAAACGACCCAGAACACTGCCTTCCAAACCACACATCTCGCTGATGTCTCAAAACTCAGTTTTAAAGTGGCAACAAGACACTACTGCATTTTTAAGGACAGCCATGCAACATCCACTTGGGAACATATCTGCGGATCAGGTTTTGTGCACAGCACATTCCCAATCTCAGCTGTGGTGCGTGAGTAACACCAACTCATCGCCCTGACTCCCTGCCCACTCACCGGAAAGTCTGTCAAATCGGGTACAATGTATTTTGGCACCTTCGCCTCGTCGATCTTGTAGGCCCCTGACACAAAAATTCAAAGTTTGACGGAGAGCAGACGCCCACGTTTTGCAACCAAAGTTATGACGGCGCCATTTGACTTCCGAAATGATGCCTGCCTGCCTTTGCATTCAAATGAAGCTTCCCACTGGGAAGCTGAACGGTGAGCTAAACCACACACGGAGGAAGACCGGGACAAACCAGCCGGAGCTGCTATCAGCATCAGAAGTAGACCCAATCAATGGCCACAGTGGCATTGCCAGTGGCAGCTTGAAGTTCGCCTTTTGGCGACGGGCCCACTCGGCGCACCGATGCTGTTGTGGTGTCCCGTGGAGATAGCCCCCTTGCCCTTGTAGTAGCCCTTGGAGCCCCGCTTGGAGGACAGCCGCCAGTATCCTTTGCGGGGGACACGGCGACCCCGTGCGAGCGACAGGACCAGCTGGCTCAGCATCGCGACGCCATATCACAGATCCGGCGCAGGCATCCCACAGAAGGCGCAGAACAGGAACTGGGGGCGAATCAGTCCCAGCGATAATGGGCAAACTTACTGCCACCAATCGATTGCTTGGGGCCCAAAATGGGGACACCGCAGTCGTTTGGTACATCAGACGGCATGCACCTGTCACCTGCAGAATAGGCCTGGGCATTTTGCGGCCTTGCAAGAACGTGCGAATCGAAGCAACGCACGGACGTTTTCCCTGTCAATCAAAGGAGACGTGGCATCAACATTGGAGGGTGTTCCGTCTCTCATGCAACATCATGCAGATCTCCAGGAGGATCTTCCAAGTCCAAACTTCGAGGTCCTTCGCCACATGAGCCCTGTGTTGTCGATAATGTTGGGGACTGTGGCATTAGGGAAGGCGCTACGACGATTTTTGGTACGTTTAGCGTCAATTTGACGCTAAGGGGAGTTTTCTCCAGACCTGTGACGCTGAGAGATTATGTAATTGCCACAAATTCGACATAAGGAGGAAAGGTACCAAAAAGCGCCACGGATTAGCTGCAAACGACTCGCGACTTGTTCCTAAACATCCATCAAGTGTTCAAGCTTCAAGGAAGGCCTTAAAAAGCATCAATTTACAGCCATGGACGCGGCCAACCTCCACTATCACAACTTTTAAATCACATTTTCAACCCACTGAAATCTATGCAAATCTGACCGTTTCCCTCCTCTAAATCACCTAGAACTGTATAAAACTGTTGGGTAGTGTTGCTGAGTCCTCCTGGAATCGACATAAGGATAGACGCTGAGGAGGGTGGGGGTGGGTTGGTGGGGTGGGGGGATCTTTGGGCCTAAAGTCAAACTGACGCTAAGCTTACAAAAATCGACATAGCGTCTTCCCTCAATAGGGTCATAACTACGACAGATTCAATCAACTCTCCTGTCTGAGGAATTTGTAATTCTGCTTACGAACTCATTTCACACAAGTGCCGCACGAGACTTGAATCATAGTAACACCAATAGCAAAGTGCTCGTGGCTAAAAGAGAATTCTCTTTAGTGTTGGCCTAGTTTTAAGGTTCAGGACGGACGAAATGCCACACGAGCAGCTGTGCTGCCCAGTCAAGCTGATTGATTTGCCTAGAGACCATTAAAATGGGGCCGATTGAGTCTGCTCGCAAAACTGTGTTACATGTCGCACTGCCAATGTCCCATGGTTTCTTTGCAAGCAACTACCTGTGTGTCCCTTGCAATGTGTTCGGGAGTGGCGGCCGCATGTACTGGCGTACATAGGGACAAACAATGGTCATGTGTTCTTGGGGGCTGGGTGGCGACATAGCCCAGGTTGTCTAGCACACGGTCAATGGAAATCTCAACTCAGCTCAGCTCAATGTTTTGGGGGGTGCGGGTCGGCCAACTACTTTCTTGAGCAAATCATTGGCAGGGGCTCATCCGCTGGAAACAGCAGTCACACATTGAGGGCTTTCACCACGAAAACCAACAGCGTTTCCCTGTCTCGTGCCATAGATGTTGTATCGACAGAGGTATGCTGACGCGCTGTGGGCGACAGGCCGAAAACGCAGAATGCGCCCCTGTCGGAGTCGAGGGGCTGGGAGGTCCAATTGCAGCACAGGATGGAGCCAAGGAAGACGCACACAAAACATGAATCAGGGACGCTGGTCCACTGCATAGGCAAATGTGATGATCTCTCCTCGTCCATCTTGGCATCAAAGGATTGTGCATTATTGCAGGGGCCACTTCCTACCCTCGGCCCCTTGGCGTCCGATGGACGCCAAGCGCAGCAAAAGTTCGGCCATCTCTTCTTCTCTAACGTGACCACAAAGAGGAGCTTCGGTGGTTGCAAGCAATGGTGTGTCTTGCATAGTGCAGCACCGTGCCAACATTAGCTTCTAGCTCCAGAGGCACCCACTCCCTGGCTCGAACGATCCCACAAACACGGGAGCATCAATGTTATGCCTCCCTCGTGCAAGACTGATGAGCGCCACTCGTGTAACCATCGCAAATATCTGCTGGAAATGCAGCACAATCAGGCAGCTGCAGTTGTGGGTAAGACTGGAGCTCAGCAAGCAAAGGACCACTTCCTCTTGTAAACAGTTGCAGCCATCCTTGCAGAACCTAATGCCTGCATTGTGCCTCCATATCCAACTTGGTGTGGCCCTTCGATGGTGGGAATCGCACAAGCCCACGACCTGAACTGTGCTTTAAACGTTCTGACTGCCTGTTTTCCCTCCAGCATCTGTGTATCTCTTTGTTCATGAAGCTGAGTTGGATCCATTAGAAACAGGGCGGGGCCTGGATCGAGAATGCTTTGGTTCTGGAGAAGGCCATATTTTAACAGATGGTCGTGCAGAAAACAAAGGCAGCTGCCCGCAAACCAGACTAGCCACATCCTGTGGTTCAGCGAACAGTGGCTGCCTGACGTATTCTCTACTACACTGTGCCCCACGAATATAGGTTGCAGTGTAGAGGGTCGAATGTCCAATGGACAGTTGAGTCCAAAGTTCGGCTCGGGTATTTGGAAAGAGCCATGGAAAAGCAACATCTTGCATCAGAGGTCATAGCTCTTGTGTTCTGGTACCCGCCAGGGCTTAAATGAAAAGAAAGCCAGCTACCCCAAATGTCTGCACTCAGTGCTCTGAAGCGTTCCACGATCCACACCTCTGGAGTGCATGGACCACTGTGTGAAGGTTGTGACACACTCATCCGGGTGCTGACACCCTGCAAGTGAACCCACGCCCACATGTGTTGTTCTTCAGCATTTGCATTTTCCCACGACACGCTGAACCCCACACTCCACTACTTCTAACCACCTCTTGTTGGCACACTTATTGCCATTAACAACTGTCCACTCTGGCACCTGACCCACAACTGCAGGAGGTCCTGCACCAGCCATGCACTTCACCAGAATGAGGTGCGCAGATCCCACGTTCTGTGTTAACTTCTCGTTGACTAGCTTCTGAGCTACCCAGGGCTACCCAGCCAGCTTGATCGCGCCCACCACACCTCTCGCTTCAAATGTTCACCCTTGTAAGAATGATTTGGTGTAACTGAAGAATTTCCATGTCCAGACTGTCCTTAACTCTGGGCAATTCCAATTCCCATGTCCCCAAGGGGACTCTCCTGAGCTCCAGGCACATTCAATTCCAGAAATGCCCAGATCGACGCTGCTCCTCTCATTTGTCAGCGGTGCCTGCAAGCGTTTTGTCGCCTCCCCCAGCTTGCGACACCAATGGTGCCCGCTCCTCATCGCCATGGCCAGCCCCCTCTTCCTTCCCCTTCTCTGGGTCCTTCTCCGGAGGTTTGCCTCCGCCCTTTTTTCCAGCGAAGGCCTTGTAGTACAGCGTCCCAAACACCACCACCGTGCCCGCCCACTGCCCCAGCGTCAGGGGGTGCACAAAAATGATGCATGACAGCAGGATGGACAGGAACTGGCGGGTGGTCATGACCGTGGCGAACAGCAGGGCGCCGTACGACTTGATGGTGTGGTATATGAACAGCTGGGCGCAGGTGGCCGCAAGGGATAGCAGCATAATGTACACCAGCGCCTGCGGGTGGCCGAACACGAAGTCGATCGCCTTCCACAGCCTGCCCGAGGTGAGCAGCACGAAGAGGGACTGCAGCGTGGCTGTCAGCTGCACGTACAGCGCCTGGTTGAACATCGTCATGCGGAAGCCCTTGAACAGCTTGTCCTGAAAGTTGGACGTGAAGCCATCAAAACTGAGGTAGCCCAGCATCAGGAGCAGGCCGTACAGGTTGCTGTCGCCGGGGGAGGGGTGGTTGGACTTGACATCCCCGGTGAGGATGAAGGCGGTGCAGCCCAGGGTGACGCCCGTGGCCACCAGGTAGTCCTTCAGGTTGTATTTCTTGCGCATCATGATGCCGCCCCAGATCATAACGGGGATCATCTTGGCGCACTTGCCCAGCGTCTGCACGGGGAAGCTCACATACTTGAGGGCTTCGTACTGGCAGGTGGTGGCCACCACGTTGGAGAAGGCCACCACGGCGTAGGAATACAGCGGCGCCACGGGCTTCAGATCCAACTGGAGCGTCAGGATCACACCCAGGGACACGGCGGTCGTCACCAGGCGGTTGCAAAGCACCAGGAACAGCGACTCCGTGAACCTCTCGCCGTCAGGCGCGAAGGGCTCCGCCATGATGCGCTCCTGTAGCACACCGTAGCACATGAGGCAGCCCAGGATGCCCGTCACGCAGAAGGCAACGTGCACCCGCTCGTGGGCCTTGATGAACTCCCATATCTCCCCCACGCCCATGCCTGCGCCGGTGCCCGCCCGGGGGTGGTGGCGCGGAGGCCGGGGCGCCGAGCAGAAGCCCGCCCGGTGGCAGCAGCGGCGCGCGGCACCGCGTTCGCGGGGGTGTCCAAGGAGGGGTGCTGCGTGGAGGGCGGGGCGGACTGGGCGCCCCGGCAGCCGAGGAACTGGGCCGCCAGCTATGTCATCAACGTCATCAGCGGCAAAATTGCATGATGCGACTGCATCCACGCGGTTACCGACATATTCTTGTCGAAGTGGACGCTGACAGTGCCCTGGGCAAACATGTGATGCGACGGCCTCTGGCCCTTTGCCCCTCTGAAAGATCCGCCTTGCATCCGTCTCTCCCTGCCCTCCTCACGCTGCCACCCCCACGGACGCATCATTGCGCTATCAACGCCTTATGCAGGTGAAACTCGCAAGGGTGGTGCCCGCAGATGTGGGAGGTTTTGCGGCAGGTCCCGTCTGTGGAAGCTGTGCCGGTCTGTTGCAAAAGGCCGCCGTTCAAAAAGATGCGGGCGGCCGCTTCAGGGGCAGTTGCGAATGCACGCCAAGGAGCCGAGGTGCCGCTGTTGGGGAAGCGCATCCTGTTGCGGCTGTCAAATTGCTTCATTGCCGCATCTGCTGGTCTGTTTGAAGTGGCCGAACACATTCATTTGAAGCCTGGCCTTCTCCAATGGCAGTTGCAAGTGCACGCCAAGGGGCCGAGGTGCCGCTGTTGGACAAGCGCATCCTGTCACATTACCATGTATTTTATGGGAAATGGCGGAAGGGGGTCCTTTGCAAGATATCGTGACAAAGGGGTTTCCCAGGGACAAATGGGGGTCCTTTGCGAGGGTGTAAACGACAAAAAAACTGAGCGCCCCCTACATCAGAAGCGTCGCCGGTTCGGCGCCGGTCTGCACGGTCTTCGCGACGCCGTTAAAATGGCCACCTCTGCGCTTGGTGTATCAGCTAGATGAGAACGTGCAAGTGGTCTCCACGTTTTGTCCGAAAGAGATGTAAAATGCCCGGCTCGAAACCCCAGAAGGGACTCTAATTCGGACAATGAGAAATGCAGAAAACGCTGAATCGTGCCCTATTTCCGACAATAGCCGGCAAGAAAACGCCAACAGGCCCCAATTCGGACACACGACAATCAATGACTTCGGCTTCGGGCTTGAGTGCCACACAGCTTGGAGCGGTACAACGGCATGGCGGGTGCCAATCGCCACGATTCTGTGAAGCTCAGTAATCGTCTTGATGACAATAGTGCGCCAGTTCCTGGCAGTATACGATGCGATTGGCAGCTTGCCATCTTGCTATCTTGCCATCTTGCCGCCTTGCTGTGTTGCCGCACTGTGCATTTTGTGGTAATCTCCTGTCCAGAGAAACAGATTAGGGAGTGTTCCTATCGAATCCTGTTTCTTTTGTTGTTTTCCATCAAATTAGATCGTGGCAGAGACTACAATTTATTTTGTGTCCAGCAAAGATTTTATTCCGCGCAATCGGCAGTTTGGCAGTTTTGAGGCATGTCGATCTGGTAGTTTTGTGCGCCAACCATGAAATGCCGCCCGCGTTGATCCAACCGCGCACTGAGCCACTTGGCAAATCGTAGAGATCAACCCCCCTTCACCGAATCCGCGGTCGTCACGAATATGACCTTGCCATTGTCGGCCAAGAGTCTGTCGCCGACCACCACGGTGGTCGTGTCTGGCAAATTTTGGCCCAGAACAGCTCAAAAATTGGACAAAGTGTCCCGCAAGAATTTTCGAAGCAACCTCAATTCTGGTAATGTCCACCAAGGCTGAACGGGAAAAAAAACGGTGCACGATGTGACGTCCCTCGGCTTTGCAGATTCATATTGTGTTGCACCCTGAAACGGTGGCACTGGAATTTCTTCTCCACGACGCGGTAGTGAGGTTGTCGGGCGAAAGGGTAGCCATGGTCATCCATGCGAATCTACGGTAGACCATCGTTTGGGGTCTCACCGCGAACTTCCACGAAATCTTCGACCTGAAGCAACGCATAGCTGTTTGATTCGTGCCCCATGCGGCGTATCGTGTGCCATTCAAAGACGCGCTGGTAATTCTGCACGCAAGTGGCAGGTGAGCCACGCATTGCTTTATCTTCCAGCGGTGCTGCTGTGCCTTCCTGAGTCGACATACTTGCTGCGTATTTTCGCTGGACTGCGTAGGATACCCGCCTCTTGCGGCTCACCACCGTTGATGGTGAGCACCTGGCATGATCAAGTCGAACGGCGGAGCGCCACAAACTGGCTCCCTTCTAACATCTCACAGGTGAGAATGTTGGGGGTGTCAAGGACCTTTCAAGGACGCGCGGTGCACGCCGTATTCCCGAGAATGGAATGAGTTAGACTCTGCTCAGCTGCCACCGCGCATGTTTCGTTTCTTTTGGGTGTCGAAGCCCCGCTTCTGGTAGCCGTGCATCAATGGTCGGCAGAGAGGGGTCATCTGGGTGCGTCGGCGTTGATGTCTGTCTGCGCCCGAGGCACGGCCAGCATTCCTGTGCAATGCGGGTGCCCAGTTAAGCACTCTTGCACACCGTTACAATGCAAGTTTCGGTTACAGGGAGAAACCGTCCGAAACCTGTTTATGGTTTTCTCAAAACCCAAAACTGAGACATGCGCTTCTCGCAAAGGAAACCTAATTTCTCTTAAGTCGTCGGCCCTGTAGACTTCGGTGCTACGATGCCCTCTACCCGCACTCCGTGCACACTCTCATTGCAGCTCATCCTCCAACTGATCATATCGGAAGGTGAAGTTGTCCTTCTTCCGATAGCACCAGCCATTCTGCAGAGCGCAGCACGCACGCATTGGTCAGAAGAGATGCTCTACAGTGGATGCGCTGCGATTCTGTGGGTACTGGCGTCTTAAATGGCGAGGCTGCAGTGCTAAGCAGCTGGCATGGTTGCCCGCCGCTGCAAATAAAAGTGGACATGCGCAACACAGAATGCAGCAATCTGAAGTGGGGCTGAATTGTGGACAGGACTGGTGCAGCTGTGGCAATCTCACATCCGCTTCAGATACAGAACAAGAATACAGCCAGCCAGCTTGGATTTCGGAACCTCTGCGCTTCGCAACCACCAATACACCACATGCCATGATCTGAGACGAATGATCTCTCAAAAGACGGGCGAACCCAAGAGCACCACAACAGTCCTCACAAAATACCGAGAGGAGAGGCAATCTGCCTCCCATGGGTGGTACCTCGTTGCAGCCTATCCGTTACCAAATGCCCAACAGAATACGAAAAGACAATCACACAGTTCCCAGTTGGTCTGTAACTGCAAGCCTCCATTGAGACGCATTCAGCAGAGCAAGCAAGAGCTTGAAACAGCTCAGAGAGGATCGTGTTGCTGAAATTCACAAGCAGCACAGATGACAGTGGCCTTCACACGACATTCGTCGGGGAGGACTTTGTGTGTATGATAGTGGCTGAATAGGTAGATTAAGCAGTGCTTACACTGCGTGGAAAATTCAGTGGTTGGCAACCATTGGCTGTGCCAGCCTTCCATCACAGTAGGCATCTGTACCCACAATTCAAATGTGTGCATAGTATTATCGTCAGTTCCTTTGCAGCAAAGACGTGCTCACACAATTTCACCAGCCGAGCAACACCGAGATGGCTGATTATGCACAAAGCTTGCACTGAAGCGTCCATACGAATGTGCTTTTGGCAAGAATGCCAGCAATGCACACAAACTGTCAAGGTGTCACAATGGACACACAGCCCAACGCTATGAGGCCCAACGAATCTAGTGCCCCTCTTCTCAATCTGGAACTGACCACATCGGCAGGGTTGTCTGAACTCCCAGGAGAGAAGGTCTTGTCAAAGTAAACATAGCTCCCCTGTTCGTAGTCCTTTGTTGTAGCCTTGGGCTCACCAGACCGCTGCAAACAGGCGGTAGCACTGTTAGAAGCTCATCGCGGCCGGTGAAGAAGCAGAAGACCCACGCTCAAGAAAATTACCAGAAAGGTATCGTACAGCTCGCACTGTGGCCACTACAGGTACTTTGTCACGAGTTTGAAAACACACCAAAATCGCTTCAACTTTAAGGACCCTTCTCAGCAGCCTCGAACTGCCAGGCCAAGGCACATGTATTGACAAATAGGGCAGCTGCTCCACGACATGACACAGTGTGGCAATTGTAGTTGCAAAACAGAAAGCGCAACCTCCCATGAAAATGTAGAGAAGTGCGAGGCAAGAAGACATCCAATACTCCCACTGCCAAGAGAGACCTCTTGCTGTTAAGCTTCCACTTGATCTGCCAGGCCATGCCCAATTCATGGCAATACAGCCATGTACACAGTCGCATTGGAGCCACGACACAATTCTCTACACAACTGTGGCTGGAAAACAAGACCTGGGCAGTCATTCAGAAGCTCTCCAGGGATAAGAGTGTAAAATGCACAACCTCATGCAGACAATAACAATAGTACCTGGGTCGTGGCTGAAGAGGAAACATTCGCGTTTGCATTTCACTGTGCCTCCCAGTCACAAGCTCCGATGGATAAGTCCACCAGCTGTAATCCATGACATTGCACTGTTTGGCAGCACAGGGGAAGCAGATGAAACAGCATAGTCACACAGCATGCAGCTGGGACAATTTCACATTCCTCACCTGGAACCATGCCTTGTGTTCTTTATTGTATCTCCATGCCTGCCTCTTCAGTTCCCGAGCAGCCAAGAACTGTTGAGTGGAACCTGGCTGATAATAAAAAGCAAAGAAGAGAGCCTCCTGGTCTATCTTCTGGAAGAAGTTCCCGTCGTCCAGCTGTGGCAGCCGATGAATGGGATACGAGGCGGGCAAGTGAGGGGTCACACGATTGGCATGGTTTGACAAGTCCGTTTTGTAGTCTGAGTCACCTGGTTGGGGCATCGATCTCCTAAACCAAAGCATACGTCGTCCATGGCTGTCAATGCAGTGACAAATCAATTGATTCCCCAAGCAAAGCCAACTGTTCACCAACATGGCATGCCCTGAAGCCAGAGACCGAGCAAGAAGGGGCACAACCAGGGCTACATGCAGCCCCTTGACATTGCCTGTGGTCCTCTACAAATGTGTGGTGATCACTTAAAACTGCACATCTGTCAAGGACAGGCCTAGTCTACGCAGATAGACTCCCTTGCTGACATTCCTCATCACCTGCAGCATGCTTGGAGTGTTTGCAGACTCTGAGCAGGATTGTTCTCATACTGCCCTGGCGCCGCCACCACACCACCCCCTTCAGGTCGTGTCCCATCAAGACTGAGCTCATGTATGAGCTGATTGAGGTCCACTATGCCAGCCAAATGTGAACCCTCCAAGAAGTCTTGGGGCTGTGCAGGGGCCTGTCCTGTCGAAGGTGGCAGTGCCTGCCCAAGGGGCCCTGTCTGTTGCAGGGGAACCTGGGACGCTGATGGTGCTGCTGCACCTGTAGTCTGACCTTGGGTCGGATCTGAGCCAGGCACATTGGCATTGTACGAGAGCCCGCCTGCATTTGCCAAGCAGATCGACAAGTGTCAGCACAGCACTATTCTCTCTTGTCCAACCAGATGCAAGTGGACAAAGTTTCACATCAAAGCACAACACAAGAAGCACAAAGCTCTCCTAGTGGCACAGCCTCTGAAGACCAGTGGCCTGCTGTCCATGGCTCTCCCCATCTGTCACCTCTCCTGACATTGGCCCACCCTGTACTGAACGATGCGTGCAAAGTAGGGTGAGCAGCCTGCTCTCCTTCAAACCAGCTTGTGAACCAGGCAGAGGCACATTCTGTGGATCACTGACCTGGCTGATTGGCGTTGGTCTGCGATGGACCTGGGACATTTGTCTGGCTGACTAGTGGCCCGGTTTGTGGCCCTGGCGATGTTGAACTTGGCACTGCAGATGGCTGAGACGAGCTGTTGATGTCCATATGCTGCAGCCGTGTCAAAATCCTCTTCTGGTCCGCTGGACCCTGCTCTGTTCGGGATGGCCGCCTCTCAAGTGCTGCGCCCAGCTCAGGGAATGCACTATCATCTGCTGTGACACCCGTTGACCCCAGCAAATGCATCAGCACAACTGAAAGCACACTATGGCATTCTGTGCATTGCATGGATGATGGTCCAGTCAACCCCTGTTGCTCAATTTGTGTGTGTGGTCTGCGAGATCAAGCCAGCAATTTGTTGCCTGCAACATTTTCAGTTGCATTTGCCACCTGGTGCTGGCTTTGTGAAATAATCAACCATTTGGTTCCTTCAAACTGGTGCATGGGGCAAGTTCATCCTTGTCATGGGGCAGCCGTACAATGGCGCACAGTAACCATCAATTTCGATCAAACAGACTTTCAGATCCTGCCAGAGGACTTCTAAGGACCACAGTATTGCCCTTTCAAGGGAGGCAGACGCTCGGCATCCAAAAGCGCCTCTAAGCTTGGATCTGGTTTTCAAAAATGAGGCAAAGACAATATCTGCCATTGCAAATGCGATCAACAAGATGCTGTGATGCCCTTAAACACAAGCAATGGGGAGTTGGGTAATAACTGGCATCTGGCAATCACAAGCCCCAAATATCAATAACACAAGAATCTGTTCACACAACAAAACACCCAATATATACATATAAAAAAAGCAGGAACAAGACAACTGACTTCATATAGGCACAACTAGTGGAATGTTGCAAAATAATTGCATTCATCATGCATAGGGGACATACACAGCCCATGATACATTTTCTTCTATTACATCGGCATAAACTATTCTTCAATACAAAGGTATCTAGCCCGCTGGTATGCACAGGAACCTGGCCTTCAAACATAATGCTGGATGCCAATACAGGCACAAATGCAAAGTCGAATTTCGGACTCTTGATGCATGAGCAATCATATCAACTTCTCTCAGCAACACAGAATCTCAATGTTGGGTATTTTGCAGCGCCAAAGGCGGACAGTACAAATGCTGTGAGTGTACTGCTAGTACACGGCTGGTTTTTCACGCCTGTCATATCGGCTCATGCAACATTGTGAACGATCCACCCAGAAGGCAACTTTGCTTGAGCAGTCATCTGTCAGCAGCCTGCAAAGGGCCAGCAGGCACGATGCACTACCAACTGTGGTTGTTCCTTGGCCTCTTGTTACAGTGACTACATACACTTTGAACACACAAGCTGCTATTGGCGCACGATTCAAATGCCATATCCCCTGAAATGACCACTTTAGATTTTTGCTGCGTCTTTTCCGTGTTCCTGCATCCCACAAGGGCAGTTCTTGCTCCTCACCAGTGCCCAGCCCCCAAACTGGCTGCGAGGCCTGCGGTGGTGGCACTGCCACAGGGGGAGGCCCCGCGGTTCTAGCTCCAGCAGCCGCCGATGCAAAAGACACTGCACCACTGGTGCCTGCAGAAAATGCAGCGTTCGACTCTGGCTGCGCCTTTGCCTGGTTGGGAGCAGGTATCTTCATTGGAGGAGTGCCCTGAGGTGCTTGGGATGCAGGTGAAGCCAGGTAAGCCATTTCTTGATCGTTTCCTGCTGTGACAGCAGGTGCATGGGCAGTGCCATTCTCACTTTCCGGCATGGCAACAGGGGGAGATACACTGGAGTGCAGCACTGGCGCTGTCTGCCATGTCTTCTTCTTGGAGGCAGCTGAAGCAGTTGCAGGGCCTGCCGTGAAGGGAAACAGATCGTCAACATATTGCGGAGGCTGGCGCTGCTAATGGGTTGCTGGCAGCCGAAAGGAAGTGCTGAACACTGCGCATGCCTGCTGAGCACCATGTGCCGCTCAGCACCGTGGCCTTTAGATAAAGACCCAATTTCTAACATTTCCCCTGAGAAGGTCGTCAGTCTGCTGATCCCTCTGGTGGCAATACAAAAATGGGCAGGTACCATCAAGAGAAAACAATGCCAGATGTCTTACCCACCCAAATTCAATCCCCACCTGAATCCTCCTTTGCAAGAACAGTCGATTGATTCCCAGCAACTTTAGCTGCAGTGTTGGCCGTGTTGTTTCCCACAGCATTCAGCTGGGCTGCAGTGGAGTTCGCTAGAGAAGCACTTGCTGAGGTTGATAGAGGGGCAGCGGCTGCCCTGGCCTGAGCATCGGCTTTGTCCTCTTCATCCTCAACACTGCTACCACCAACCCTGGTAACAAAGCAGCGAAGGTACAAGTCAGTGAGCGGCAAGGCAGCAAAGTGATAACATATGCACCAACCAAAACACGTGTCAGGCATGCTTTGGAAAATGCCAATTTACAGCAAGGACAGGCAAAATGGGCGCCTGGAATCACAACTCGACTGCGCCAACACAATTTTCCAACATATTTGGGCAATGTCAACCAATTGAAAAATCTGCACATCGTGCCTGCTGAGATATTGCACCAACTGCTTTTCGAAACCCCAATCCTTACAACGTGTGCTTTCAATCGTCAATTTCTCCAGAAGACGAGCCAGCACAATGCTCAGCATCGATGTCTTACTTTGGTACTGGAATTGGCATGGACACTGACGGCTTGGCTGCGACTCTTTCTCTATCTCGCTCCTTGTCCCTGTCATCGTCCCCAGTAGGCCGGTCTTTGTCTTTTCCTTTCTTGACAGGAGCACCAGTTGCTGGAGCAGATATCACCACAGCATTGAGACGATCCAGCAAAGGATCGTAGCATTCATCGGCAACAGCAAAACTGTCAAAGTCCTCCTGGTTTTGATCCTGAGGTGCAGCACACACTGAAATCACATGCCATGCTCAAGAGTTGTCCCTCCAGATATGCAACATCTTTTTAACTGTTCATCACTTTCCAACTTTCCTTTGCTATTTTGCTGTCCATCTGTGGGATGGGTGGGCAGGGAGCAAGTACACTCTGTCTCAGCATGATGTGTGGCTCAACGTCATTGCACCATGTTGTGAGGTCACCGTGGGCTGTTAAATCTGGCACTGCCTAGCCAACCATCATATTGGAAGACAAGCTGACATGGCCATTGTGACAGAACATGCTGCACGCAATGACACATTCACCACAACTGTTGTTCACTGCAAGCTTTGATTCATGTCAGACATTGACCATTGGTGCACATTCCGTGTCTGAAGCACTCTCTGGCAAATCCATCTCCATACAGTTGTAAACTTTTCCAGAAAATTTCCTTGACTTACCACGTACCACTCGACCATTTCCTTTATGTCACCAACATCTTCAGCGTTGACTGTCTCATTGTCCAGACACCTCATGACTTGCTCAAGTCGAGTAATGTGCTGCTTGTGCCTTGCAACAGAGTCCTCCAGGTGGTTTTTCCGATCAGGCGATTTCTTGCCTTTCTTAGCAGCCGTGTACAGGCTCTCAAGCTCACTCTCAAACTCGTCAACCTACAAGACAAACCATTGTGAGTACTGTTGTATTCTGTTGAACAATGTGGGCACAGTCCTTCTTTGGGATCCAGTGCAGAGGCCACAAGCTGACACATGTTTGACAAGGCACTCACAAACAGACATGCACATTCCAGGGTGACCAGTTCGTCCACCTGAAGTTTGAGGCTTTCCACTTGCTCATTCAGCCACTCTCTTTGCTCTTGCTTGGCTTTCTCTTCTGGGTCCACTTTTGCAGCCTGACCAAGCCCAGCTTTTGAGTAGGTCTTTGTCTTGGCCTCCTTCTCACACACTTTGAACCTCTCCATCTCCCGCTCAATTGCTTTCCTCGTATCCACAAGAGCAGTTTTGTCTTTGATGTCACTGTTAGTGATCCTGTAGACAGTACTGACCAACTCTCACAGAACAGTAAGCCACAATCTTGCCTATAAAATCAGACGTCACACAGCAGCAACCACATTTCCCTCCATAACAGCACTGGGGACATCACTGTGCTCAGTAGCCAGCACCAAGTTGTCTCTTTGGCAGGTGTGCATTCAGAAATCTCCACATCGTCATTCAGATGTTGACAAACGTCTGAAGCAGTCGACAGCAAGGGCATGACAAAGGTTCGACTTGTGTTCTCCATTTCTCTCATAGATCGCTCAGATCCCCACACAGATGTTTGTATGCAGAACGCTACAGCCTGCATCAGCCATTTGACCACTGTGGGCGAAATCATATCCTCAGGCACAAAGACAGTATCCACACAACTGTGCACTGACACCCAAATGGGAGACCCTCCCCCCTCCAATGTGCTTGCTGCTTCATACCAATTCTTGATCTGGTCTCGCAGCCGCTGGAGCTTCTTAATCTCCTTCTTCAAGTCCCCCTCATACTTCTCTCTTTGATTTGCATTTTCGGTGTCATACACCTGCAACAGCACCCCAAGACATCGTCACACCTCTACGTGGAAAGAAACAATCAGCGCAATGCACTGTCAGCATCCAACGTTGCATGGCCCCAGACCACGGCAAGTCCTATGGCACAGCCAGACGAATGGTTGTTGAACAATCACGCGCAACATGAGCGCATTCCTGCAAACACGGCGGCAAGGACTCGGGATTACGCAAAGCAGGATTACCCCAGAACCATTCCATGGCACGTCGCTGGCAATTTGCACCACACACGCGGCCTTGTGGGCGCAACAAGCTTCGCAGCCGTCGGCACACGCAGGGGAAGGAGCGTCGCCCAAGCGGTCGAGCCCAAGGTCGCACCAAGGGAACCGCGGTCTCAACGTGCCCCGAGGAGGGCACGACACACTCCTAACGGCCATGCCCTCGCGAGCAGTTCACTTCTGCGGCGGCGATTCGCCACTGCGGGGGGCGCCCACTCCAACCGCAAACACCGAGTACGCCCACAGGTCGAATTTTTTGTGCCAGCCACGGTGGGCACCCCCAGAACGACGACGGCCTTTTCCGTTGGGCGTCTGGCCGGCCCGCCCCGACTTGCGCCCCTGCCGAGGTCCGTGGATTCCTCTGCCGGCCGTCGCCGCGCCCTCCAAGGGATGAAAGCTGGTGGGGTGGCACTCTGGCACTGCGCGTCACTGATCGACAGCCCCTCCCCTTCCCCAAGGTCCGGCATCCGCCCAATCACTGACCTTCTCCCAGATTTGGTCGAACTCGTGCATGCCCTCCTGCACCTTCTTCAGCGTGCGGTCGATCTCCGCCTGCAGACGGCGCGCGGCGCCCATCTTCTCGCCCGCCAACTGCTGAAATGATCGGCAGCACGGTGGGGTCCGGGCGGCAGCCGCCACCGGACGAAACCGGGGACGCCTGCTTTCGTCTCTCGGCGAACGTGCGCCCGCCGAGCCCGCCCGGCGCCGTCGGTGGCCGCACTAACCGCGAGGTCAGAAGCACCATCAACCGAACAGAGCAACAGCCCCCACCACCATCGGAGAGCTCATGTTGCCAGCGCAGACGCAATCCCAATCCCATTGGCTTTTTTCCGCTGTTTTTTGGTGTTTTGGCCGTGTGTCCACCACATTCCGATTCATTTCCGCTTCACACGCAAATGCCCGATTGCGCGGCCAGCTTCGACCTGAACGGGGAGGCACGCGGAGGCGAGGGCTCCAGATCGCCACGCCGAACGGCTTAAAAGTCCTAAAGTCGACCTCCCAGAGCCGCCCACTGGGGAGGCGCGGGCGCCTGGGATGCCGCGATGCTGCTCCCCGGGCTTGCGCTCCAGCCCTGCGTCCGCGACTCTGTCGTCCGGGCCCCGGGCCCAGCCTGCAGGCCCGCCGTTCGCCGACCGCCGGGGGCGCCCGACAGGCGCGATGCCTGTGCGGGACCGGCCACCTGTGGCCGGCCGAAGCACGGCTTGGTTGGGGCCAACGGTTTAGAGGCGCCGCTGACTGGCGCTCTGCAGGGGATGCGCAGGTGTCCGGTTTGCTGTTGCGCACCAGAGTTGCCGAGCGACGGGCTCGTTACCATTCCCATTTTTCCCCTCAACATGGTGGCTTTGCCAGCGGCGACGGTGCCCCTGCAAATTTTCGAGGCCAGGTGGGGCGGGAGGGCGGCAGGATGGCATTCGGAGCCACAGGCATGTGTTGTGCGACCGCTGCCATTGGCCGCGGCAATCAATGCTTGCAAGGGCCCCATTGGCACGAACAGTCAGTTTCAGCCCGAAGCGAAGTAGATGAAGAATAGGAGTATCAGGGCGTTGTGATGGCGAGTGCTCTCAACCTCTTGGCTTGTTTCTCTTCAGGTATCGTGTCCTGTTCAGCACGCTGCTTGGCCCCGTTGAAGGGTAAGTGCGATACGTTGGGCAACGCCTGAATGGAATCGCAGCGGGGAGTGCCCCAGCGCCAACTATTTAGAAATACCGTCAGACGTTGCAGTGCTGCAAGTTGAGACCCCTGCAGCGTCCTGTGAATCCCTTGCAAGGGTAATGAGGAGAAGGCAGTCTTTAGTCTGTGATTCTTGGTCCATGCAGCCCCGAGGTGGCAAGATGAAGAAACACATACGTCACTCTCATAGTGCAAGTGATGTGGGTTGGCTGCTACTCTGTGGTGTGAACAGTTTTGCGAGCACTAGGAGTGTGAGTCCCAGTATGCGATCAGTGGATATGACAGTAGCAATTGTCTGCACGTGGCAAGCATACGGCAGTTGGCAGGACAGCAAATCAATCAACGGGTAGAGCATCTTTCTCAGTAACGAAAGAGAGCGAAGTAGAGTTATGTATCTCAGTAGGAGAATTGGGTTTAGGTCCGAATGTTTAGAGAACAATGTCTGTTGCCATTGTCAAAATGCCACATCCTGTGCCCTGTGGACGTCAGACACATTTCACGTGCAGATCTGTCTTGTGAGGTGATGCTCATTGCATGCAGGAAAGTCTGTGTTGCTGCCAGTGTGCTCCACAAACGTTGGACATTCGTAATTAGCGTGTTTCATTGTGTTTTGGCTTCCCCAAAACATCTTGCACATGCTTGACATCACACAATTGGTTTGCATGGTGCGGACTTATCGAATGCTGGCATCACATCCTGCTGTTCTTGGGATGTTCTTCAGTCACTCAACAGCCTGGCGCTCTTATCAATATTCATTCTGGCTTGCTTCAGGGTGGATGAAGATCTCATTCAACAGGACAGTGCCTTTCTAGGATCCAGGAGATTTGGAATGTGTTTCACAAGCCAGGGAGGAATGGCGAAAGTTGGCACTATCCTTGAGATACAGCAGCACCTCCCCCTTGAAGACGGGCGCATGCTTGTCACCTCAAGCGGCGTACAGCGATTCCAGGTGGTTAATGTAGTGCAAGAACGACCTGTACTTGTGTGCGAAGTGCAAGTATTGCATGACACGCCTGGCGAAGATGAAAAAACGGTGGGTGTGTTTCCACAAGCCGTGTATGTTGTGTACCGTGTTTGCACGTTTTGGTTGCCATTCCACTTGGTGCACCAGTGCAAATCTTGACCTGGTGAGCTGATGTTCCAGTGTATGCACTTCTTGGGAACTAGAGTTGTAATTGAAGGCTGTTAGCATTTGTGAGGAGTGTTGTTACATGAATAAGATGCAAATAGACACACCGCATTGGTTGTTATGGTCCCACAACGTCTTTGCTCAGGTAAACGAGTAAAATTTTGCCCAATGTACAAGTGCTATGAAGGTAGAATCCTTCTGCACATGGCAGTTGGTTGCTTCAAAGGGTGGCCAGGATTCGGGGGCAGTGGATGCTCCAGATGGCCATTGTACTTGCATCAGAACTACACTGTGTGTCTGCCCATCTGTGCGAAAGCTTTGAAGGGGCTATGAATCGCATTAATTGGTAATCCCCTATTCATCCCTTGATCAGGGCAACTGGCAAGATGCCATCCCTGTTCTCCTTGCAGTTGCTCGACAAACTGATTCTGATGAGCTGATAAAGCGAAGGAGATGGTGGCAGACGTCCTATCCAACCCTACAAGAATTTTTTTGAGCGACATTGCTGAAATTGTGGTACCTTGTCGCAGGTATTGAAGCTTGCGGATGAGGTGGTTGAACTGTTCCGCAGCGCCCTGCAGCTTCACCACAAGTTAAAAAGTGCCCAGTCAAAGGCAGAGGTTAAAGATGAGCAGCTAGAGCCAGAGGAGCTCTCTGAACTGACCGCGTGTGATTTGTCATTTTGGATTGCCTCCACGTTCCAAGATAGCCGCCGAGAGCAACAGAGTGTGAGTGCAGACTGAATGTGATATCGACAGTGCCTGATGCTTTGCGACCACCCTGGCTCCATTGTTGTGTTTGCTTTGCCTTGATACCTGCGTCTTTTTCCACAGTTGCTGGAGGAGCCAAGTGTTGTTGGACGGTTAAAACTGGAGAAGGTATGGAACCCTCTGGCTTGCTGGAATCCAACAAACTGCACAATCTCCATGGTTTCTCTCGACTTGTGGCTAAGCAGTAGGATCCTTGCACGCTTTTGTAGATGGTGGTGATTTCCTTTGTCACAAAACAGGGCACTGCCCAACCCCTGCGCTTACTGGCGCTGTTGGGTGATGTCCACAGTGACAGTTTGCAACGGAAATTGTTGGTGTTTGCCATGCATGGAACGTGTGCAAAGGCTGCTGATTGCTGTTGGATGAGCAGCTCCGTATCCAGACCACAGTCAATCAGCATGTGCTGGTGTGTTGCATGGTGAGGGTGCACACTGGTTTATGTGATAAACTTGAGAAACAGGGCCGTACACAGTTAGAGTCAACAGCTGTCGCACGCTTGAAGCATCATCGGTATCTGGGGCCATGATTTTGGTACCCATCATTGTACAAGGTCTTTGTCGTTTAGTTTTACATGGGATTAAACATGCTGGACACCACGGTATTAGCTACTTGCTGTCCACCTCTGATTTGCACATACATGCTTTTACAAAGGAGGCTTATGACGAGCGCCTATGACGATGCTGGTAAACATGAGAGCACCTTGCCAGCGCCCCGCCAGTTCCTCCTTCATGTCTCGTTGCTGCATGATTTTTGCCCACTCTTGTGCACTCCTTTCTATAACGAGCAGAGAGCACGAGAAAGCAATGATTGTGGAAAATAAACATTGTGGATGGGCAGCGAAAGTCTATCTGTAATTGCAGCAGAACACATGATGATAGCTTGGGAAAAGAACAGAGATTTCGGAAGTGTGAAAAAGATCTGTAACTAAACAATATTGCAGCTGGAATAGCATGTTACACCTCGAATGGCCACCTCTAGGTTGACCATTGATTCAATTGGCTGATATGGGCAATGCAGCATCGTTTCGTCAACCATCCCCCATTTTCCAGGCCCCCTTCTCCCTTCTCAGCTATTGCGGTGCACTTTTAAGGGAACAGTGTGGCCTAGTTTATTACAGGACATTAGCGGATGTCCTGCTGAGTGGCCACCCGCACACTCCTTTGCCCCTGGCCACGCTGGAGTGTGTGCACACTTCATGGGCGCTCCATGACGGGCACAGAATCGCATGAAGTCCAATACATAGTAAGAGAAACCCGGTATAGTAAGGACATAAGGGACCACAGGAAGCAGATGTTTGTGTTGTATACAATTGGAGGTATGCACAAACAGAAAACATGGCTGTGTTTTGGAAACATGTGTGCAAATGTGCGGCAGCTACGGTCCAACAAGATCTGATGCGCAGATTATTGCTGTGTGCCAGTGCTTGTTAAGTTGTCGATACATCGCTTTGATGATGAGAGACAGGGTTTTGTGTGTGTAGGAAATGTTGGGCGGGACTGTGAAGTATCTTTCGGCAATGTCTGCCTTGACCACAGCATTGACTGACACAGAATCTAGTGAACAGAGCCCAGAGCAGCCTGGACCAGACTAATAAACCTTCCGACGTCAGCAGATCTTGGCTAAATGCATGGGCCCATGCCATGGGGGTGGGGGCTGGTGGAGATTCCCGCTGGGGATGGTGCAGCAGTTGAGGCCAGCGTTGGCCTCGAGGCAGTCGTGAATTTCTTGGAGTCATCGATCATGCAGGAGAGTTGACTATTGTCGCTGGCGAATGTGTCCTAGCTGGTAGTGCTTTGTTAATTTCATTCGCTGCATCGAGTAGCCATCACGCTGATCGCCATTTTGGTTGATGGACCATTGCGCTGTCTGACTCATTTGTTGAGGCAAGTCAACGACACAATGGAAACTGGGACTCAAATCCGCTTCACAACCCATGAGCCAATTGTGAATACGCAACACCAAGACTGCTCGCCTCACGACGCTCAGAGCTCTTCCCAGCTTCATTGGCGCCCTTCATCGAGCAACGCCTTTTCCTGGGAGGTGCCAAACAAAATAGGTCGTTCGTTTTACAGCTCGCCGTGATGTGCAAAGTTGTGAAGGCGGCACAACGCTTCAGCGCCCAAATTTTTGAACACCAGTGCATTGTACCCCATGTCGGCATTATACCTAACCTTGCATCCAACTTGCAACCAATCTGATTAATAGTGGGCCCCCTCATCCTTGAGCGAGATCCCCCTCAAGGTCCAGCAATTCTCTGGCCCTTTTCACAGCCACGTCAAATCTCCCATTCACTGAGAGGTTGGAAGTTTTATGTCCGGCCCCTGTGCTCAGAGTCTTCAATTAACGCGATCTGGTGCTGCCAGGCTTCCCCCAACGTATGCAAGTATACAATATATAATCGGTTGTGGCAACTTCCCTAAAATATAAGGATAAGTATATACTACCTCTGTTTCAAAAGTCTTGTCTGTTATCCAATTGGTCCAAACGAAGGTCAAGATTGTCCTTCTAACAAAATGCCAAAAGCATCCTCAAAGGCATTTTCCTTTTGTCGGGACTTAATCTGGGCCATGGCAAGCTTGTGTTGCCCGTTCATACAGGTAGATTGCGCTGAGCTACCCCTCGGAGAGATGTATGTCTTGGTTGTTGGGTATTTACAAAAGATGTGTCTAGATTCGAAACACAATCCGCATCGCAAAGGAAAGCTTTGGCCGCAAAGTTTAGGGTATTGACAATTAGTGTGCGAGTGTCGAGGCCTAAGCCCAAGAGACACCTTGATCTGTGCAAGAGCATCAACCTGGTAGATGCACAGGTCTGGGAAACCGTGCATGTTGATGCTGATCAAGAAGATGGCGTAACTTGTTGCCAACATGGCCAATAACTAAAAACCAGGGGTTTTCGCAACACAGTTTAACACAATGGAAGAGATGGTCCTCAACGAAAATGAAAACAGCGCTGTCAAAGCTCTTAAAAGGGTGTTGTAATGCTCATTTGTTGTCTGCAACAAGGTTCTTGCAGAATTTGGTGGAATAGGTTGGAACACACCGGGATAGGGTGAGCACAATAATGCATTGAATTGAGATCCTGACACAAACGGACAGGAACGCTTATGATAAGTCCGTGCATTTCTTGCTTTGTGGTGGTGACTGAAGTGAGCCAGATTCGCTTTAGTCCCAAATTGACCAAGGAATCCAAATCCGGCGATAGACACACTAATTGAGTTGATCTTGCAAAGTTACAGCAAGCTCGGATAGCGGACATGACTTTTCAAACAGAATCAGTACATAAGGGAAATTGCCACAACCAGCACTACATAAAGAACCCAACAACGACCCTCTAGGAAGAGCAGATTGTGACCATCGTGTCAAGGACATACCCGCCGAACAGACAGTCCTTTCAATTCCCAAGTCCCAAAACATCTAAAATTCTGCATCTGTTAGAGGAACAATTCTGCCTTTCGCAGCTAGTTCAGGTCTTTTTGATGCTATTGCATCACCTTCTATGTTATTGCATCACCGTTGATGCTCCTCAAGGCACGCAGCTCCACATTATTGATTTCGTTTTCTCGAAATTTTTTGCCATGATGGCGGCGGCATTTTTCCACTGTTCATTCCAGTCTTGCCTTTCAATTTGACTTCCAGATTTCCCCTTGCCACTTCTTGTACACTCGCTTATGCAACAGTTGATTTTTTGGTGCATGCCCATTGTGCTTCTTCGCTTTTCTGAACCACTGAGCGGCTGTCCATGTCAATCCCTGACTGTCCAAGTCCAAGATGTTTTTCCACCCCATCCGTTGCTATGCGTTGGTCATGTGGCGCTAATCGACTGGAGTGGCAGCACTGACCACAACGAATTTATCATGTTCAAGATTGTTTGGCGGGAGATAGTCGACACAGTACTGTTTGGTACAAATACAACAGGATTTTTCAGGAGTCGAATTTAAGCGCAAGCAATAGGTTAACTCCACGTCATCGTCTTCAGACGCTTCCAGCCTGCCCGAAGGCCGAGCTGGACGTATGCCTTTCCAGAAAAGGTTATATGACGTGGGACCCCGCTGGAAGGCGGTGCGCCGAAAGGTTGGGCCGTGCTCCTGCCCTTGGGGCGACCTGGGGCCAAGCAACCAGCGCGTGCAGCGGCCCGCGTGGCACAAACCCAGCGACGCCTCCCGCTTGGTAGCCCTCGCCCGCGAGCAGCGCCAGCCATGGACCCGCCAACCGTGCCCCCGGTGGGCACATCGCTGTTTTGGTTCCGTCGAGACCTGCGCCTGGACGACAACCCCGGCTTGGCCGCGGCCCTGAGCTGCAGTCAGACGGTGGTAGGTTGCTCGAAAGCGGCGCGGGCCCGCCGGCGGGCTGGATCGCGGCTGTTGGCGGCGCCTGCACGGGCGTTCCCCTCCACCCCTTTTTGGGATACTTTTGCGCCGCTTCCGCGCCGGTGCGCCGCGCCGGCGAAATCATCCAGCTAGTGCCCCGTTTCCGCCCACACAAGCGCGAGGGTTTCGCGACTCTGTCCCATTTGGCGCGATTTTTCCCCGATCCCTGCGCCCGTTTTTGTTATTTTGCTCGCTCCCGACCGACGATCTGCCCTCCTCCGTGGCCTCCAGATCCCAGTGTTCATATGGAGCCCTGATGAGGAGGGCGAGTTCCAGCCCGGCACCTGCTCCCGCTGGTGGCTCTCGCGCAGCCTGGCGGCGCTCTCCGCCAGGCTGGCCTCGCTGGGCTCCCGCCTGCTGGTGCGCCGCGCCAAGGACTCGCTGTCCGGCCTGGCGGACGTGCTGGCGGACACGGGCGCCACCACCCTGTTCTTCAACCAGCTCTACGACCCCATCTCGCTGGTGCGGGACTTCGGCCTGAAGCAGGCCCTGGGCGAGAGGGGCGTGGCCTGCTGGAGCTACGGTGGGGACGTGCTGTTCGAACCATGGGAGGTGATGCAGGACGACGGGCAGCCCTTCGTAACGTTTGAAGCCTTTTGGGACAGGTGCGGCGGCGCCTCTTCGCACGCCCTGGTTCGGTCACACGCGTTTAAACCCTCTTCAATTCCCCCTCCACGCGGCCGCGGATCCCCAAAAAATCTTGTCCTCTCCTGCCTGCCTCCCTGCGATGGTCAGGATGCGGGGAATGTGTTGATGTGTCTGTATTCTTGGGAGAGGTCGCTGTGGCTCCATCCAGCGCTGTGCCATGGCGTTGTGGCTGCAGGGTCACGAACTTGGGACTGGAGCCGAAGTTCCCCCTGCCGCCTCTGGTGTCGATGCCCCATGTGCCCACTGGTCTGCCTTCCTTGGAACTGAGCGAGTTGGCACTCCTGTCTCCCGAGGAAGACGCGACCAGCAAGTCGCTGGAGCAGAAGGTAGCCCAGCTGGGCGTCCCTACATTTCTGGCCTATACATTCCCAACCTGGTCGAAGATGGGCTGAATGTTGTGGCTATTTAACAGCCATTACCAGCAGGAAGCCACAATTGCACAGAACTGTTTGGAACTGCTGTTCATTTTGTGGTGGAGTTGTGTGTGTGCTGGTCACATTTGTGGTACAAGTGCGCACCACCTGCACTGTGATCACCCTACCCTCAAAGACCCAGCTGCAAAGTCATGTGATGCACATGCGCTTGTGAATACCTTGTGCAGTGAAAATTGGAACGAATTGCGATGATTATGTTGGGAAGATTAGGGAATCTGAGGCCGACAGCACAATGTTGTTTTGTATCATGGTGTCAGTGTTAATTGCATTAGAAATGGGACGATTCACAAGGGAAGGGGGTCCTGACAAAACTCGCCACAGGGTTTGGGCAGCAAGTCCACTTGTTTTGGACTGAATCACTTTCTGGTCATTTGCTGCAGTGGGAGCCGGGGGCTCAGCCATCACACAGGCAGCTGGAGAAGTTTGTTCAAACCAGGTTGAGCAACTTCTGCCACCACAAAGCCCAGGTGGACAAGGATTCTACCTCAGAGTTGTCCCCTTACATACACTATGGAGAAATCAGTGTCAGATACATCTACTACAGGGTGAGTGACCTGCAAAATGATTTGCTTGTCAGTTCATTGTAGTTCTTTGAATTAATTCCACTCCAACCTCATTGGCCTGGCACCCAATGGCAATTTGCGATTCCTGCTCAAGACTTTCGCTTCCGCTCACCAGTTTCTTGTAGAGGCATGGACAAGATTCAGCCTTGAAGAGAATCAGGTCAGCTCTTTTGAATTCGGGTGACATAGTGCCTGTAAGTACACTAAGCGCTTGGTGACACTCAAGTGCAACAATGTAGCCTTTGTTTCCAGGCATCACCTGTACTCTCTTTTAGACCAGCTTGTAAGAGTAGGCAATCGGGAAGTTGGCAATAGTGGGGCTACGGAGGAAGGTCCATGCGCTACAAGAGAAGGATCTAGGACCAGGCCAAGCCTTCATTGTTCCCGTCTAAGCCAACTGAGCAACGAATGCTGGGTTTGGTGCCGTCTGGGTGGTGTTAGCACTTGTGGACCCATTGACGAAAAGGTGTTGGCTTGTAGAAAACCCACTCACATGGCAACCGAGAACATTCAACCACCAGCCACAGCTACACACAGCCAGCAGAAACCCTACCTGTTAAACTGTTGCATTTGTGCTGGACTTCCATTTTCTTGTGTGTGGAGGTCCATGCTCTCACATGCCATGTGCATGCTTTCCCTTCATAAGAGAAAGGTTGAGGACATTTTGGTGATTTTTAGGGCGGGGCCATCTGCAGTTGTGTTGGCTGCCATCAAGGGGGCAGCAGCACCAAACTGTCATCAAGCAACTTGTCTTAGTGTCCTTCGGGCAGCGCTTGTCCCCAGCTTGGCAGTGGAAGTGGAATTGGGTTGATGGCACATCTGCCCCAGCTTCATTTGCGGTGGTCTGCATTTTGTGGGCTGGCTATGGCTCCGAAGCATTTTCTTACTCATCAACAGATCTACTCGTTTTAGAGATGGTCCAGATGGCCAAGATTCCGCTGAAGCTGATGAAGCAACAGTGCTGCTAATAGTCCAAGTGAAAGGCTGACAGCACTCAAACACTCACTCACTTGCATCCAGCAGAATGTTGAAGACGAAACCTGCAGCTGGACCAGTTAAGGGTCCATCAATGTGTGCACTCAGTGTTTGGAGGCCTCCCGCAGTTCCCTGCCCTATATCAGCAGGTGCATATTGTGGCAGAAGATGTGGTTCATAGAGCCAGAAAGTAGTGTAGCTGGATATAAAAGCGAATTATCAACAAGAAAAAACAGTGTGCAGTGTAGGCCTGGAGAGCATGCAGAAAGAAGCTTGTGGTGATGGGTTGTGTTTAGTGAATCCCCCCTGTTGGTCTTCAGTCGATGAAGTCCAGGGTCATGGGAGATTGCAAGTGTCCTGTGGATGATGGATTTGTTGTAGCGGTATCGGACGCATTTGCTACCATGACTGCAAAGCCATATGGGGCAGCTTCTCAGCAGTAGTGATTAATGTGGAACGAACTGCTGCATGCATGCACCCAGGCTTGGGTCCATGCGAATTGCATGCGGGCAACATCTTGTGAATTCACATCTTCCACTTGCTGACTCGCTGATCCGTAGGGTACCCCCAAATACACAGTGCGCTGGGCAGCTTGGTGGTGGGGTGATTGTGGTGTGGAAGTGCATTTCCTGTGTCAAGATCTTTGAACCCTCTCTAACAAACATACTGCGTTTGAGAACAGATCGTCCTCTCCTCATTTGCCCCTTGGGGCGAATGTGTTTGGGAACAGTTTCGCTGCCTGTTTGTGCGTTTGCACCAGAAGGTATTCCCGCTGTATGGGTTCATGTGGGAGATGGGCCATACGGTGCTCACATTCAGCAGTGGGGAGGTGGTGGGGTGTCTGGGTAATTGCCTGACTTGGGGTCTGCCATTGATGGGCCGCAGGTCAAGCAGGAAGTTCTGTCTGGAAAGTGCGGACAGCAGAGTTGCAACGATTTCCTGAGGCAGATGGGCTACAGGGAGTATTCCAGGTACATTTCATTCCATTTTCCCTTCACGCATGAGAGGGCATACCTGGAGCATCTTCAGGCGTGCCCTTGGAGGTACGACAAAAATGACTTCAAGGTAGGGCAAAGGTCTGCGATGTTTGGGGACCAGCACTGAGAGTTGGACGGTACCCTGTTTGGTCTATTGGTAGGCTGTACTTGTGGTAGCCATGAATATGTGAATATATGTGAATATGTGAATATGTGAATATATGTGAATATGTGAATATGTGAATATGTTGGGGTTTTGCTGTTGAGCAGATGGTCTTGTGTCATGGAGTGATATTGCTTTTGTCATTGGAGCCTTCAAAGGCATCACAACAGGATGAAGTATGTGCTGTACACCTCGTACAGCCCAGCATCCCATGCTGGGAACATGCCAGCAAGTGTCCTTTGTAATACAGCCCACGGTCTTTATTTAGGGAATTGTCATGTCTGCTGCGGTCCATTTTCGTATTGTCAGTGCAGCTGGATTCTGTAGGAGCCTGCAGTAGCAAAAAGCGCTTTTGCTGTGTGGCTACATCCCTTGAAGAAAAATATCTTGCTGAGCGATGCACACATGTTTGGTCCTGCAGGCCTGGCGCCTGGGCCTGACAGGCTACCCGATGGTCGATGCCGGTATGCGCCAGCTCTGGAGTGAGGGATGGCAGCACAACCGGCTGCGTGTTGTGTGCGCATCCTTCCTTGTCAAGAATCTTCTCCTCCCTTGGCAGTGGGGCTTGAAGCATTTCTGGCGTACGTTGTTAGATGCTGATCTTGAGTGCGATGCGCTCGGTTGGCAATATATCTCTGGCTGCTTGGCAGGTGGGTGTGGCAGCATTGTCTTGTATTTGCAACACAAGATGCTGCAGAGTTTGAAGCTTGGATGCCTGGCGTTTGTAGTTTAAGGTGCTCATGGGGCATGCTTGGGAATGGATGCATTGCTCTCAGGTTGCTGCCAAACCGCACCTGGGCACATTTCAACTTGATGAGAATTGATGCTGTTGCCTCACAAAGTTGAGCTCTACAACGCATGATGACAGGAACGAGTCTTGCGGAGTTCCGAAAGAAAACTGACTGCCACCCATTCGATGCACTGGACTGGTTCCAACAAACCCCCAATTGTGGTTGACAGTCGTGCTAGGCACGATGCCATTCCTGAAGTTCGACCCAGTTTGACACAACTTCGCTGAATGTTCCAGTCTCAGGCAGCAGCGCCAAAACGCGAAGTGCCTGTGCTGCTCGCCAGAACGATTCGTGTGCGCAAGTTATGCCCAACACTAGTAACACTAATGCAGAAGCTTTCCATCAAACAATTTGCAATCCATTTGCATGCAAACTGGTGATCAACACCTGAACCTCCCAAGGGAGTTGAACGGCCAGCAGGCTGTTTGACTACGATGGGATACTTGCTGCACAGACTGGGAGAAAGGCAGTAGGATGTCCCCATGGCCACAGGCAAGGCACGCGGCACTCTAAACCTGTCCAAAGAGCTTGTTGCCACCTGGACTGAGCAGTTGGACTGAGGTGTTGGATCTCACTTTCTGCAGATGCACATCCTTTTGGCTACCTGATGGAGTTAGAGTATGAGAGCAGGAAGTTTGACGCCTCAGGACGATACATTCGTCGCTGGATTCCTAGCCTTGCACGCCTTCCAAACAAGTACATTCATTGCCCATGGGAAGCGCCTGCTGCCATCCTTGAGGATGCTGGAGTGGAGCTGGGGGTGACATACCCACACCGCGTCGTGAAAATTGAGGTCAGGAGGGTGGCTCAGAATTGTACTGTGTCTCTATTGGTGCATCACCATGTGTTATTGCATGCTTTGGTTGTGTTGAGTGGGCGCGTTCTATGCTTTGCATGGCTGGTTCTGTGAGATGCCTGCCTCCGCCAGTGGTGTGGGCAAATGATGATGAACACGGCCTGCTTTTGATTTTCTGTGTTCACTGTTATGTCATATGCCACTTCAGGGTCATCGTGAAAACTGCTTGTGTCCAAAAAAAAAAAAAAAAAAAAAAAACTCCAACCCACCCAGGCCACGCAGGCAAGTCTCACATCTTCTGGTCGTCAGTGGTGGAAAGTGCCACTCGACAGCAAGCAGGCCCTCTACATATTTCACTTCCCTGGCGTTGTGTGTGGTGACCAGATGGTCACATCTGGGATTTTGGGGTACTAACAGATGGGGAAAATTGAATGGGACTGTCTAGGCGATGATGCCAGCTAGGATTGGCCAAAGCCTTGGCAGGCAAGTCTCTCCCAGAAAACCCCTGTCTGAGTGCACACCCTGAAACACTACATGCAGTGTGCATGGCACAGTAGCACCAGTTTGTGTGCCACCTTTGTGTCCCATGTTTGCGGGATGCTCCAGGCTAGATGATGTTTTATGGGGTATTTAGCCTGCTGGTGCTCTTGGAATGCTGGATAGCATTCGATATAAGATTTAATTATCACAGCTCAATGCGTTGCTTTCCTATTACCGGCTCATTTGCCATCTTCCAGTTCCAAAAGTGGACAAGAAGAACCATGTGCAGCGTTTTTTGGTCCACTCGATTGAGAACAATTAGCGCGATCGGCGCCCAGCCAGACAACACTCAGTTTAAGCCTGAGGTGCCAGCGCAAGTGTCAGGGTGGTTGCCACATAGCAATAGGAGTGGGAAGCAACTATCAACTTTGGAATCGTTACACAGCCAATTGTCGAGCAGCCATGTAACCCTGCAAGCTAGCCTGGCAGTCCTGCAGCAATCGCCCATACGGTCAGGCCGGTGCATGGTTAACCAGAGGACCCCGTGCATATGCATGGAATTCTGACCTTGTACACCAGATAGTTTCATTGCAGCCAGCAGCTGAAGACCCTCATGTTCCCATTCTCAGGGCTTTTGCGAGTCCTATCCTTTTTCCACTGTCATCCTAGTGGTGGCAATGGGCTTTGAACCTTGTCTCCTTGGTGTTGACCTGCAGATGTTTCAATGGCAGTGACAAGTGGGTGGAAGATTGGGCAAGTGCTAGGCATTGGTTTGCATTTGTCACGTAGCTTCTGTAAAGGCCAAGCATTGGTGACGGGGGGTGACCTTGCGTGTGTAAGAAGCATGTTGTGGTTGCATATTGCTTTGCCCTTATGATAGGTATCTCAGGACAGCAGCTGAGCAACAGCTGGTAAGGGGAAACTTGATGCCATTGTTGCACTACACGAAAGTGCTGGTACAAGAACAGTCGCTCCTGAGTTGTAGCATGTGGGAAATTATCGAATGGAACAAAATTACTGCCCTTGAAAGCTTGGGCGGAGACCCGGCCCATTCTACAGTTGTTTTGCCTTGCTGGACTTAAGAAATTGCCTTGCCTGTTAGCCTGTTGGGTAGCAAAGCAGGTGCTGCTGTGGTTTGCTGTTGTCATGATGTAATTTTGGGAGTGGCCTCAGATGCCTCAGGTTGAACGCATGCCTTGAGCAAGATTCGGGAGATGTTGTCTGTGTGCAATGCTTGGCTGTGTGCATCAGCAACATCAGGTTGCTCAGTAATACCAGCCACAGCAGTCCACAAACAAGTGGGGCACAATAGTCCAAGCACCTTCAGTTTTTCTTTATTTTAGGGTAGGGGAACCTACAAAGTTGCTGGTGCAAGAGAACGTCACCTGGCATCGCAGCTGGAAGGGATTGGGGAGTTGTGTTTGCCCCAAACTGGTTGCAACAGACTGTTGTGTGCGCTGAGGCGATTGTGTTCTGGGGGAGGTCGACAGGGGGCTATTGAAACAACGTGGTCTGTTCCCACTGTTTGGAACAGGCACACAATGGCTGTCGTCTCCTCTCAGGGAGAATGGCAGCGAGGGCAGTGTGGAAAGTGCTAAACACAGCCCTCCAAGTTGTTGTCATGTTCCCCCCAAAGAGAATACCCATCAGGGCTTGCAGAATGTATTGTTGTGGCAAGATCAATTGAGCAGCACTAAAAGACAAAGTCACAAAGCAAGGTAAAATAAATGTAGAAGTGTTGTCTATCCGTGACAAAGATACGCTATACGGTGGGCAACTGTTGGGCCTGTGGACTGCGGTGCAGAGTATGTGGAAAATATGGAATGTAGTTGTGTTTGAAATGAATGCGATGTGGTGTTTGCATCTGTTCGCATTGTGTATGGAGACTAATGAACAAAGTATAAGTTTGAATGCAGAACAGAATAAGTTTGAATGCAGCAGTTTCAGAGAGCACTAAAATGGCACAGAATCGATTTCTGGGGATGTTTTGGCTGATGCCAGTTCTCCTGTATTCTCCCTGTAGGCTGTCAGGCAGCGCGTGCTGAATGCATGCAACGTAATCGAGCAGAACCAGCGCAACATGGACAGAGGTCCATTCAGGCCAGCAACTGCTCCAGTACCAAGGTTGGTTGGTTGTGCTGGGGAGAGCTGGTGGGGGTCACCTGCATTGCTGTTGTAAAACAGTTGCAGGCCACCAATTTTGCCGCATTCATATCATGAGGTCCATCAGGGGTTCTGTAGATTCCTTGCAGTGGCGATCTGATGTAACTGCTGTCGGTCGTGCTTGTGCATGAGCAGGCCTGAAGAGGCCACCACGATGACGGAACAGAGTGACAGGGCCACCGAAGACAGCCTTGAAGATGATGATGGATCCGACATGGATGAGAGCACATCATCAGAGGAGTCAGGTGTTGAGTCGTTCCTGGGCAGCAGGAATGTCCCAAGTGAAACTGCAGCAAGAACAGCTGCAAGCCATTACACGGTGCGATGTGTGACACTGTTTCGAACATGTTTGTGAATAGTCGGGACTGTGCGTACATTTCCACCTTTGCATGTGCGTTGTTATCAGCCTGTGTGGTCAGTGGGCGTGGACGTTCCTTTGCTTGCTACTGATCTTGGATGCACACAGGCAGGATTTTTTGTCTCGTTGGCAGTGCCTGGAGAGAATGATCAGCCCCATGCAATGCCATCATCCTTCGTTGCTGTATGATGCTTATGATGCTTCAGGGCTTGTTCCTGTTGAGCTTATTGGGATTGCGATTGCCACACATGATAATGACATTGCAGTCATGTACCGAAGATCGCGGAGGATAGTGCTGCCCCTGCATTGAGCATCAGGCCTGATTTCAGGAATACGGGGGGCGCAATCTTCCGTGCCCCAGCGCTATCTTCCGTCCCCCCCACATTCCGCATCAAGTGGCAGACACAATAGTGCCACCCCACATTGTCACATTGTTCGGTGTACCGGCAGCAAAGCACACCAGCACCCTGCCAATTTAGCACACAAGGCGACATTCATGGCAGGAACCAAGAGCGGTGGCAAAAGAAGTGATGGGACGCCACAGCTCGCTGTGTTACGCCATGCCCCCTACACTGCCAGATTGACTGGTGGAGCGAACTGGCGCCTGGCCAATAGAGCACATTACATAACATTACATAAGGTGCCAGTCATAGCACCAACCGAAAGCATCGAATGGCAGCTTTTGGGACGTCCCATTCACAGAGAATCTTGGGGACATGTTATTTGAATGAGGGAGGAATTGTACTGGCACTGTTGATTTGGAGTGGACTTGATGATATTGGGGTCGTGGCACATGCAATGAGGTGTAAGAACATGTGAGAAAGCTTTTGCATTCGTTACTTTATATGATGTTGAAGCGACTGGTGCAGCCCCCACCCCCCACCACCACCATCCACACACAGATACACACCGCTATCTTGCATTCCCCCCGCACTCGACAACTCGACAACACTGGCCATGTTTGATAACGCCAGGGGCGTTATCTATAGGGCCCCGCGCTGTTCAGGACACCTCGTGCTATCCTATATATGGTACACTGGTGTAGATGGTGGATGGTGAAGTAGAATCTGCAACTAGCGCACTGTCTTGGTTGTAGTCGCACAGTTGTACTTTACGCATGCATGACGATTGAGCCCTCAGTGCATGTGAGGTTGAAGTAACCATTACTGCCTGCGAACTTTCTTTTGCTCCGGACCTAGCTAGGTGAACAACAGAAGTGTCATGTGAATTCGGGTGCCAGGCTGGGATGGTGGCCAATAAAGGAAGGAAGATTGTTCAAATGCGAGCAACCAACTATAAACATATTTCGCACTTGTGTTTCTGTGGGAATGTTTGGCGTTGTGCAACATGACCCAATGTACAAAAACGCACCACGAGCAGCACCTCAAGTCGTTTTGAATGGCTTGGACTGGCCAGCAGCTTTGGGACTTGCTGCTGCTGTCCATATTGCATTGCGCTTGACTTGGTTTGCAGTTGAATTTCCTGGCATGAATGTGGTGAATGCCAGCAAGCAATTATAAGACAACAAGGCTTCTGTGTCTTATGCGCAATCGAGCCTGGTGGCACAGCAAATTTTGTTTGGTGAATGATTTCCTGACTCGCCCAGATGGTGGCAGCATGTTAGGTGCAGGACAATCGCCTGTCAAGGCCAGTGTGCAATTGAACTGTGTGTGTAGCCCGCGTTGGTAACAGTTCCATTGTCATTGCAGAAGTTCAAATCACAGGACAGTTCTCTGACCACGTGGATGCATGCAAGCAGGCGCAGCCTGAATGCTGTGCAACGTGCTTCGCTGACACGAGGTGTCTGATGCATTGCCAGGCTGCAGGCCATTGGGGCACCAGCTCGGCCTCCCAGAAACGCCGACAGTCTGGAGGTGGAGCTTGACATCCCTGGGGCACCAGGAGCATGGGTACCTGAGCCATGTGAACATTTTGAGCAGTATCTCGCCCCCTCAAGGCCGAGAGTGTTGGAAGCGCACATAGTGAGAAGTACAATTGTCATAGAATCAGTTAAGCAATGCGCCAGGCCTTGTTGCAAGAGATGAGGGAGTGTCCAGGTCATACACGGCGTGACGGCTGCCTAGGTTGTGCTGTCACAGCATGGGGTGCTTGTGCCGGACATTTGTCCGATCGCCTAGCCTGCACTGGATTCTTTGTGCGTGGCGCAATGTATAACAAAGAGCATTTTGTTTTGGCTGCTGGCTTTTGTGATATGCAGCAGCCGCATCTTTCTGCACAGATGGCGACAGCATGTGCACCCTGCTCGCATAAGGAGACTGTTGTACAAGGGAAGGGTCATTTCCATCTTTCGTACCCTGTAAGGAGACATTCAACTCTTTTGACGGACTTATAATTGTGGACGCTGCTGTGCATGCAGTTGGTTTTTGCGGCGGCCGTGCACGCCATTGCGTTTTTGGTGCTGTGGATGGTGTTAAAGGATGTCTTGTTCGTCTTGGGTGCCGGGCAAGTCACCAGCAAGCTTTTTGTGATGTACGAGCAGGGAAGAGAGACGGATGAGGCTTGGCTTGTGTTCGAAGCTTGGGCATACTCCGACAGTGGTCTTTGAGAACTTTTGCATGTGCGACGGGGGCATGCAGGACCTGCGTCATGGATGCGGCCACCTCATGTGCCGATGGTGAACGACATTCATTCTTGCTAGAACATGCTGTGGAGGGTTGTACGGCAGTGGCCCCTGCCTTAGGAGACTCTTGGGCCGTTTCGTCACACTAACGTCAGATCGGCGCAAGAGGGGGGGAGAGGGGGAGGGCGGCTGACCCCCCACCCCAACAACCCCAAGCTAGAAAAGAACGCACTTGCCCCAAAGTCCGCATGCCAAGAGGAATGCCAAACGAAACGAATACACTCGTGTCGATTTTTTGACTTGTGTACATCTGTTCCTACAGTGAGGGCTGAACATGCCAAAATCGACAACGCTGAGAAAGGCCCATACTGCCGCTAATAAGGAGCAAACAAGCCATGAATTCATTACAAGGGCTCACGCATTCAATCTTCAACACCCCCAAGTGTCTCGATAGCCGCAGGGGATGCCCCTATCGCCAACCACGGCTTCCAGCATTCGGTTTTCACTCCCGGCAAACCCCAACGCTCCGGTTGCTTGCCTTCCTTGAAGGCATCTTGTTGGTTTTGTCGCGCCGCTAGGTCATGGTTTTGAGTCATCCTGGCATCGATACAAGGATTGACGCCAACGGGGAGGGTCCGAGCTTCTAAGCTAAAGCGACAAATCATTTGTCACACATGATGCTGACCGTACTGTAACAGTGTCTTGCTGGCCCTTGCGAGGGATAATCATCGTTTCGGACAGATCATGACGTGTCTACATAAACTCCTTCCATCGTTGCAGCATGCAGCAGGATGCACGATACACGGCATTTTGCAGGGGCGTCTAGCAAACAAGCACGATGCTTGATGTGCTGGTGTTGTCCAGATGCACGCACAACACACCCCTGCTGATAAGTTTGCATGCTCATGCCCCCACAAGGCAATCACTAACAACGGTGCAATGCTCCAGGTGCAGAACGTCGTCCCTCTTCTCGGCACGCAGGAACCAGCCAATCCCCTACAGATGACGAGATTGGTTCACGAAGTGTTAGCACATTGTGTGGGAAGAGAATGAGGTTCCCTTTACTTGCTCGATCTTCCTGTGAGGACGGCCCCATGCTCAGCTCGGTTGTGGTCCTCCCAGCTTCCCTTTCTTCCCGAATTGGTTGCTCGCCTGCCATGCTCAGAGTCCCGATGCAGCGGTTCCACAGTTGCCAAACATTGTCCATATGTCCCCGCTGGCAAAGTATGGGTCTCTTGCAGAACAAAATGACAAAGCTCCGCAGAGGGGCCGACAGGCGTAATAGCATCAGCAGGACTTGTGGGGCACAACTGCAGTTGTGGCCTTGGTTCCATGAGTCATCGAGTACAGAGAGGAAGATGGGTGCTTTTGATGTGACTCTGTACTTGGGAGGGAACCCCAGGGGTATGGATTGCTATCAGGAGGGCCACTGTTTTTCCGGGTTCTGCTCCAAATCCAGAATGACTGCCGTGGTCACTGGCTCAGCACAACTTGGCAACAATGGTGCTGTGGATATCAAAGCTTTGTCACCCATGAAAGGGTGATGTTGTCTCTACCCTGAAGTGATTGGTGGTGCACAATTGGGATTGTGCGCCCAGATGCCACACTGGTCCGTTGCTGTACGGTGAACCAGGATGGGATGAGCACAAAAGGGGCATCCGGTGAGATAGGACAAGTGCTAATGCAACACTGCACTTCCAGCACAAAGTTCAGCGGACGACAATCCGACAGGCAATCGCAATCGCTGGCGTTCATTGTTAAACACCAGCCAACATTTCTGATCGTAGTTGCAGGTGGGATTCAGCTGTGGCAGGCATACGCAATCAGCCATGCGTTGATCCAGCTGGCCAGACCCGGCACATACCTTTTCTAGGTTATATCACTTCTGTTCTCCTTACAAACCACGCGGGATATAACTCACGCTCCTGCATCTACCACAGAGGCAGATGCAGCTTGATGCCACTCTTACAGCGCACCCGCCTTTTCATTTGAGGAAACGTATGTGATATGACCAGCCCTGTGTCTGCACTGGACAATACAACAACCACAGTGAAGGAATGTACTTGGAATGCACTCTTTGATGTCCAAAAGACCTCCTGTCAGCCAATTACACACAGCACACTGTGCGCAGATGTTTCTGTTTCGCTTCGCAAATTTCTGAACCCTGGCAACTCGGTTACCAGAACCATTCCCTGCAACTGGAACCACATTGCTCGCGACCACGGACTTTTCGTGTCACTGTCTCTCCTGGGTGTTTGTTACCCTCCGGGTGCCTCGCTGTCGACCCATAAGGTGCGGCGCATACAATGGGCACTCAGAATTTACCCATCAAAAGACACGCCCTTTCGTTGGACCCCCAGTCTTCACCAGATCGCTGGACCTGGGGAGCTTCTTTGAGCGCCAGCAGTCAGCAGCCCGTCTTCAAGCATTCCTGCCGTTCCATCTCCAGCCTGTCCTCCACAAAGCGGATCCTCGCCAGGAGCTTAGTCAAGGCGTCTCTACCGGTGCGCAGTGCTTCCTCAGTGCGCACTCCCACCTGCGGCCGCCAGACGCTGCCTCAGGCCAATGAATTCGATCCAGGATGATCGACGCCATCCCTATCTTCCGCTCCAACACACCTGCGCGCACTTTGCAGCGGCGTCTCGCGCCGTAGACCAGCCGACGGCTGCCCCGTTTGCGGCGCCGATGCTCTCCTTGTCGGCGTGAGCGCCCCTTGGTGTCATGGCGCCCCCGGGCCTGCGGCGATGCCCCGATCCCGCCGACGCGCTGCGACAGGGCAGCGGTTGTGGAGGACGGGCGGGCGCGTGTGGCCGTGCGAACGGACGAAGGGCACTTTCGAGCCGCGGTCTCCGGCAGAGCTGACTCCCCAGCAAAGATTTTGGCGCGCACAAGGTGCCACAGTTTCTGTCACGCGACTGATCGGGTGGCAGACAAAATGCACCGCGCACAGTGTTCTCTTTTTGCAGTTGTTGAAAAATAATAGTGTAAACCCGCGTGGTTCAGCGTTGCGCAGAAGGCTGAACCTCGATGTTTCACCTGGAAAAGTCTCTCCGACCAAAGTTTTATTCATGTGAAACAGGGCCAGTTTCTTGGCAAACATTCACCAACTAGCGGCATTTTCTGGCGTATTTGCTACTCAGAATTCATGAATTAGATTACATAGGGGCTGTTGTTTGCCCATCGCTTCAACGTCAACTCTCATATAAACCTGAAATTGGTGCAAGCAAAGGACACTGGTAATGGAGCGCCAGTAGCTGAATTATCACTGACAATTTAATACTTTCCCTGTCCGGAATTAAATGGCGCCTTTTGTTCGAGAGGCCAAATTCATATCACACACCTATCTATTCTTTACAAAAATTTCAGAGCGACTAGTAAACTCGCATGTGATGCTCTGGTCAAAATTTCAAGTAAAGATATTGAGTATTGTGCAAATGACAGTACTTTGAATCCGCGCAATGCGGGCGCAACGTCGGAGAATCTCAAGGTCGGGGCTGGGGACCCCAAAGGCGACCCGCGAAGAGGGTGGCATTGCACTTGACGTCCCGCACCAAGAAACGGATACCTGCTGCCACCGTTGAAGCAGCAGGTCAGAGCCGTCCATGAGACGAGGCAAGACCGTGGTGCCGGGCTTAAACCACCAGATCGTCGATCCCCACCGTGGATTTCACCGTCCAACCAGATGCACATCCGGAGATCAGAAGTCCGAAAATCGGCCGAGTTCACGATCGAGGTTCCTTTCAGCGCACTCCGCCACCACTTTCGGGGTGCACGAGTCTGTCAAAGGCACTGTGGAAAGTTTGCAAGGAAGGCGTTCTCGTCCTTCTGCACTGGAGCAGAAAGATCGCCAGAAATGGCTGTCGCGGGCACACCCTCCGCAGTGGGCTGCCGGGGCTGTTCACGACGCCTTGAAAGATGCCGCCGTCCGAAAATTCACACGTTAACCGCGCAGGATATTGAAAGGCTAACCACACAGACACTGAGGACCTCCATCTGCCCATAGAAACGCTCCACGGCCAAAGATTGGCGGGAGCTCATGGCGTGTTGAGAGGCATGTCCGTGATCCGGGCATGCCACTTGCCTGCAAGCCGCGACAGAACAGAGAGTCTTTAGCGCACGCAGCGACAGGAGGGCGGGCCTCAGGATACCTGAAAACCTCCTAGAAGGGATGAATCCTACACATGCCCGTGTGTCGCTGCACACGATGGGTCGAAATCCCGGACATCGGCGATGCACACAAACAGATCCCGAATTGCGTGAGCAGCTCTACTTTCACGGTGGAGTCCACGGGAAAGGCTGCACTC